GAAACAAATTATTTCCAATAAAATTTTACAAAATTTTAATTATTTAAAAATTTTTCAATCAAAATTTGATATTTAAAGAAACACAAAAAAAAACCTTTAAAAAATCAATTATTTACAATAAAAATTCATAAAAATTTCAATAATTTATAAAATTCTTGAATATAAATTGTTTTTTTAAATTTGATTATTAAACATTTTTAACGAAAAACAGAAAAAATTAATTATTTTAAAGAAAATTTTACAAAATTTCAATTATTTTTAAAATTTGCAATTATTCTTCAAAATTCGTTTTCTTTTTAAATATTACAAAAAAACCAAATATTTTTAATAAAATTTTAAAGAATTTTAGTTATTTTAAAAAATTTGCAAATAAAATTCTTCAAAATTCCTTTTTCAAATATAAATAAAATACCAAAAAACCAATTATTTTCAATAAAATTTTACAGAATTTTAATTACTTTCAAAATTTGCTATATATATATTAAGATTCATCAAAATTTGTTTTTTAAAAATCTTAATAAAATACTTTTAAGAAATCAATTATTTTCAATAAAATTTTTCAAAATTTCAATTATTTTCAAAATTTTTAATTAAAATTCTTTAAAAATTTTAAAGATAAATCTTCTTTTAAAAAGAAATAATTTTAAAAAAACAATTATTTCCAATAAATTTTTTTTCTAATTTGATTTTTGAACATTTTAATAAAAAATATAAAAAATTAATTAAGTTAAAAAATTTTTTTACAAAATTACAATTATAATTTTAAAATTTGCAATTAAAATTCTTCAGAATTCGTTTTTTAAATTTAAATAAAATACCAAAAAATCTGTTATTTTCAATAAAATTTTACAGAATTTCATTTATTTTCAAAATCTGGCATTGATTTTTAAAAAATAAATTATTTTCAATAAAATTTTACAAAATTTTAACTATTTTCAAAATTATCAACTAAAATTCTTTAAATTTTGATTTTTAAAAAATCTTCTTGAAATACTTAAAAAAAAACCAATTATTTAGAATTAAATTTTATAAAATTTCAATAATATTTAAAATTTTGCAATTAAAATTTTTTTAAATTTAATTTTTAAAAATTCTATTGAAATACTTGAAAAAAATTAATTTTTTTCAATAAAATTTTACAAAATTTCTATTAATTTTCAAAATTTGCAATGTAAAATTCTTGAAAATTTGTTTTTTTAAATCTGAATTGATATACTTGAAAAAAATCAATTATTTCCAGTAAAATTCTAAATAATTTCAATTATTAAAAAACTTTTTAATTGCTATCTTCAAAATTTTAATCATCATAAAAGAATTATTCAAAAATTATTTTTGCAAAATTCGATACTAAATATTTATTTTTTACAGTATAAAATAAGAAAGCATATATATTAAAAATAATGCCGTTTATCTAACAATAATAAGCAATTTTTTTCATCTTTTTTCCCCCAAAAAAAGGAAGAAACTATTGTTTTAATTTAATATCTGGCGTTTTTTAATTTTCTATTTAGAAGGAAACTTACAAAATTCTATACTTTAAATTAACATAAAATTAAATTAATAATTCAATTTCCGAATTTAGATATGAATGAATATAATTAGATTAAAATTGAAAAATATATACCGAAATAATAAAATGTTTTGAAAATAACAATTGAAAAAAAAGGTAAATTAAATTCACACGCGACTATTAAAATATTATAATTATTTTAAACACGTGAGTTATAATTCTATTAAAAGGTTGGAATAAATTTGGATAATGAGAAAGAAAACTGAAGAAAACCTTTGTTGGATGTATGAAAGTTCAAAACTTTCAAGTGCATTTAGTATAATATATTATTGCAAAATATTTCCAAGTAGTTTCGTCACTTTTTTTTTCTTATTAGATTAGATTAAAACTATATCGCAGTTTAACAAATCTGAGTTGTTCATCGATATGAAAAGATCAAATCTTTTGATAAAATGCTACTTTTTTAATTAAAAAAAATTTTTTCCCCTAAATTACAGTTTAATTAAATTGAATTCTACTTTAATTTTCTTCAAAGTAATTCTTTGAGTTTTCTATAGAATTTATTTGAATTATTTTAACGAAGTTTTTTTTTGTAGAATTAGAGAATTTTTTTTATACTTTAGAGATACTCAATTTCTAATTTTATCATTTTATTATAGAGCTGTAAATTTTCTCCTTTAGTTTTATATTCCTGTATAAAATAAAAAATTTAATTTTCCTCAATTAATTTTAATTATTGAAAATTGTAATTATATTAAATTTTTTCTAATTTTATTATGTATTTTTTTTCATTTCGTTGTCTTGTAACAATTCCCTTGTATAATTTTATGGCTTTTTTTGTCCTTTCTGTTTTTCCTTTTCTTAGAATTGTTGGTATTAATTATATTTTTATTTTGATAATTTTTATTTTTTATTATGTATTATTTTAACAATTTTTATTGCGATTATTACATTTTAATAACTTTTTTTTATTACGTTTTATTTTCATCTAATTATTTTTTTTGTTTCTTACGTTCTATGTTGATGTTTTTTTTGTTCACTACGCTTTATATTGCTGTTTTTTTTCTTTTATTTTGAATTTTTTTTTGTTTTTACGTTTTATGTTAATTTTTTATTACATTTTATGTTAATAGTATTTTTCGTTTACTACGCTTTGTTGTTTTTTTATTACGTTTAATGTTGAGCGCATTTTTTTCTTTATTACGTTCTACGTTAATGTTTATTCTATTTTACTACGCTTTATGTTGATAGTATTTTTTTGTTTACTACGTTTTATGTTGATAGTATTTTTTTGTTTATTACGTTTTATGTTGATATTTTTTTTTTATTTATTATTCTTTATGTTGATTTTTACATTTATTACGTCTACGTTTATTTTTTTTGTTTTATGTTGTTTGCTGCATTTTATATTGATGTTTTCTTCAGTTTTCTTGTTCATTACGTTATATTTTGATGGTTATTTTGTTTCTAACATTTTATGTTATTTTTTTCGTTTATCACATTTTATTTTAATAGTTTCTTCGTTTATTACGTCTTTTTTTTGTTTATTACATTTAATTTAGAATTTATTTTTTAAATTATAATAATTCATTTCCTAAATCCAATTCATTCAATATGTTATTATATTGACCTGTGTGAAATCGTAAAAGAAACATAAGAGACGATTTTTAATATCATAAATGTTGCATAAGAGACTTATTATTGAAAAAAAAATTTATTATGAGGTTTTAAATTCAGTTGTGTGTGCATAGAAATTACAAAATAGTTCAAATACAATTCGTGTTTGAAAATAATATCTAAAAATTAAGGTCAGACACAATTTATTAATTTTCAATGTGTACAGTAGCAGACATAATAAATGTATACCTATATAGAGAGAGAAATGAAACTAACATTTAATGTGTCTGGAGTCTCTAATTGTGTAAATTATTCACCTTATTTGAGGTCTAGTTTCACAGACACGAGGTTCCCTTCTTGTGCATTGGGTGAAACTTTTATTCTTATCTCGATTGCTCCTCTCATTATGGTCCACTTTCTCAGTTTTGTCTCTATTATCGTCGGCATTATTTTCCATTTTTTTTTTTTACCATTTCAGTTTAATTAGTAAAGTATTTTTGTTTCTTTCAATTTTTAATTTCATCACTATACTATTATTACTTTTATTTTTATTTTATTATTATCTTAAAATTCTTCAAAAAAATTTTTTTTTAATCTTAATAAAATACTATTAAAAAATTAATTATTTTCTATAAAAATTCATAAAATTTCAATTACTTTTAAAATTTTTGAATAAAAATTGTTTTTTATATTTGATTTTTTAACATTTTAATGAAAAACAAAAAAAAATCAATTTTTTATTTTAAAGAAAATTTTACAAAAATTTCAATTATTTTCAAAATTTGCAATAAAAATTTTGAAATATAAATAAAATGCCAAAAAACCAATTATTCTTAATAAAATTATACAGAATTCCAATTATTTACAAAATCTGAAATTAAAATTCTTTAAAATTTGATTTTTAAAAAGTCTATTATGTTCAATAAAATTTTACAAAATTTTCCATTACTTTCAATGTTTTCAATTAAAATTCTGATCAAAATTTGTTTTTTTGAAAATCTTAATAACATAATTATACTTTTAAAAAATCAATTATTTTTAATAAAATTTTACAAAATTTCAATTATTTAAAGAATTTTCAATCAAAATTCGAGTTTTTAAAGAAACACACAAAGACCTTTAAAAAATAAATTATTTACAATAAAATTCATAAATTTTCAATTATTTTTAAAATTCTTGAATAAAAAATGTTTTTTAAATTTGATTTTTTTAACATTTTAATGAAAAACAGAAAAAATTAATTAATTTAAAGAAAATTTTACAAAATTTCAATTATTTAAAGAATTTTCAATCAAAATTTGATTTTTAATAAAACACAAAAAAAAACCTTTAAAAAATCAATTATTCACAATAAAAATTCATAAAAATTTAAATAATTTTTAAAATTCTTGAATATAAATTGTTTTTTTTAAATTTGATTTTTTTAACATTTTAATGAAAAACAGAAAAAATCAATTATTTTAAAGAAAATTTTACAAAATTTCAATTATTTTTAAAATTTGCAAATAAAATTCTTCAAAATTCGTTTTCTTAAATTTAAACATATGTAACGAAGTAAATCGTTACTTATGTATAGGCAAATTTTCGTTCTGAGTCCAGTGCTATAGTTAGTGACTTTGTCTGCGTCTTTTCTATCGTTCCGTCGCATTTTTCCCAATTTTGGTATAGTCCGTTGGTCAGCGTCTTGTGTCTATCTCACCTTAGAGTGCCCCTTCTCTGAATGATTTCTCGTCTGTTTGATAAGAGGGAGATGTCACATGGCTTATAGAGACCCTTTCCCTTCTTTCTAATAGGTATCGTTGAAAATTCGACAAGGAAGGATTCATAGGAAAAATCATGAGGTGTGATAGGGAAGGAGTTTTCCCAAATTCGCTGCTGGTTTCCAGGAAAGCCGCGGATCGGAGGAACACTCGTCGCCTAGATATCAATCGAGCTGGTTGAGTTTTGTAGTTTGGTCTTATTTGCATTTTCGTGTGTACGAAGATAAGAGACGAATGTAAAGTAGAATTGTTGCCATTTTAAATATTTGTACGTTTCAATTTTTAATTACTTAAATTTCTTTATTGTTTTAAATAAATTATTACGACTTTTATTTTATTTTGTGAGTGATTATTTAAGTTAATTCCCTGTTTGTTTGGCGTTATTGTTTCTCGAAATTTGTTGGAGATTTGGAGACGTTGTCGTTATGAGTTTTCAAAGAAGCAGTTAATGTTTGCCTATTGTCCAAGGAATCTGGAGATCGATGCATCGCGATTTTAATTCTCAGCAGTTCCCCCCCTTAATAAGATATTGTTGAATATTGTGTTTTTCTGTTAATTAGAGTTTTCGAGATTATAGTGATTGAATTTCGGGTTATCGATGCAATAGTTTAAATTGAGTAAATTATAAATAACTATTAAAATCCCCGTTATACATAATACAAAAAAACCAATTATTTTTAATAAAATTTTACAGAATTTCAATTATTTACAAAATCTGCAATTAAAATTCTTTAAATTTAGTTTTTAAGTTCTTAATGAATTACTTGTAAGAATATTCACTTGTAAATTCAATTATTTTTAATAAAATTTTACAAAATTCGAAATTAAAATTCTTTAAAAATTTATTTTAAAAAAATCCGAATTAAATACTTTTATAAAATCAATTATTTAGAATAAAACTTTACAAATTTTCAATTATTTAAAAAATTTCTTCAATTTGATTTTTAAAAATTTTAATGAAATTCTGAAAAGATCAATTATTTTCCTTAAACTTAGAAAAAATTTTAATTATTTTAAAAATTTGCAATTAAAATTCTTGAAAATTCGTTTTTTTCAAATCCTAATGAAGTACTTTTAGAAAAACTATTATTTTCAATAATTTTTTTTTTTTATCAGTGAAGGCGAAATTTCTTTCTAATTTTTTCTTTTATTATTTATTATAATAAATAGTAAAAGATAAATTTTTGTCTAATTTTTATTTTATTGTTTATTATAATAAATAATAAAAGAAAAAGTTAGAAAAAAAATTTCCCAACTGATAAGATAAAAAACAAGGACCCAATACGACATTTATTTCCATAACCAATTCTGTCATATTTTTATTATTCGATTTCTAATTTCTCTTTCTGAACTTAGCCTCATTTATTCTAACGAATGAAAAAAAAAAATTTTGTTGTAGGTGTATATAAAGGGAGAAAGGTGTCATGAAACGGCGAATTTCCAAAAATAGAATATAACGTAAAAGCTGAAAAGAGAAGAGAACGAGTTGTTTTTGTATGCAGGCAGGGAAGAAGAATTATTACGTAAACCAGACAACATGCTGTTTATTTAATTACATTTAACTTTGGATACTGGATTTAACTAGAGTAGCAAGGATCAAATTTATCCAATGGGATTGCAGAGAAGTTGAATTTAATTGTAAATTATCCGCCGGACTCAGCATCACGGAAGAGGTGTGTCTATTTTCATGTTATACACGTCAAGTTTGAAAGCCTTTGTTCCTCTCGCCTTATTAAGTCTAAATTACGGACAGGAAAATTGCGACATCCTCCATAACTAAATAGACGTCTCTCCTCGCACTAACTCTGCGCTGATGGACGACGAGCTCTGGACGAGACGAGAGTAACATTTACAAAAGCCTAACTGTATTCTCTGTCTCTAGGATACCTATATACTCTCTTTTTTTTTAAACTGTACTTTTTTTGCTAAAAAAAAATTCAGGTCTCGGATTGTATGACTTTTTTTTGGTATTTTTTCGACTTTTGTGATTTTTTTCTACATATTGCAACAATAAGAGAACAAGAATAATTTCTTGTATCAAATGTAACTTATTTTATAGTGTAAAGAGTTCAAAAAAAAAAAAAAAAAAAAAAATTCAATCGAATTTTGCAAAAATAATTTTTGAATAATTTTTTTATGAATACAATTTTACGTAATTGATTACAATACGTAATTAAAAAGTTTTTTAATAATTGGAATTTTCTAGAATTTTATTGTAAATAATATATTCTGTTTGAAGTATTTCATTCACATCTACAAAAACGAATTTTGAAGAATTTTAATTATTTTTGAAAGTAATTGAAATTTTGTAAAATTTGATTGAAAATAATAAATTGTATACTTTTTAAAAATGAAATTGTAAAGAATTTTAATTGCAGATTTTGAAAATAACTGAAATTGAAATTTTACTGTGAATAATTGATTTTATAAAATTATTTTCTTTTAAAAATCAATTTTTGAAGAATTTTGATTGGAAATTTTGAAAATTATTGTAATTGAAATTCAGTAAAATTTTATTGATAATAATTTATTTTTTCAGTATTTTATTAAAATTTTTAAAAATAAAATAAAATTTTTTTTAAATAATTGAAAATTTGTAAAATTTTACTCTAAATAATTAATTTCATTAAAGTATTTCATTCGAATCTTTTAAAAATTAATTTTTGAACAATTTTAAAAGCAAATTTTGAAAATAATTAAAATTTTTTAAAATTTTAATTATTTTTCAAGTAATTCAGTAAAAATTTGGAAACAAAATTTAAAGAATTTTATTTGCAAAATTTGAAAATAATTGAAATTCTGTAAAATTTTATAAAAAATAATTGTCATTTTTGTATTTTATTTAAATTTTAGAAAACGAAATTTGAAGAATTTTAATTGCAAATTTTGAAAATTGAAAATTGAAGTTTTGTAAAATTATATTGAAAATAATTGATTTTTTCAGTATTTTATTACACTTTTTAAAAATCAAATCTAAAAAAATTTTAATTGCACAATTTTCAAAATAATTGTAATTTGGTGAAAGTTTATTCTAAATAAATGATTTTATAAGAGTATTTCATTTGGATTTTTTAAAAATCAATTTTTGAAGAATTTTAATATTGAAAACATTCAATATAATGGGAATTTTTGTAAAAGTTTATTGAACATAATTGACTTTTTAAAAATCAAATTTTGAAGAATTTTAATTGCAAATTATGAAAATAATTGAAATTTTCTTAAATTTCATTGAAAATAATTATTTTTTAAAGTATTTCATTATAATTTTTGTAAATTAAATTTTGAAGAATTGTATTTGCCGAAATTTTGAAATTAATTAAAATTTTGTAAAATTTTCTTTAAAATAATGGATTTTTTTGTTTTTCATTAAAATGTTAAAAAATGAAATAATATAGAGAAACAATGTTTATTTCAAAATTTTTCAAAATAATTGAAATTTTGTGAATTTTTATTCTAAATAATTGATTTTTTTAAAGGGTTCTTTTTAGATTCTTTAAAAATCAAATTTTTGAGAAATTTTGATTGAAAATTTTTTATATAATTGAAATTTTGTAAAATTTGTTTGAAAATAATTGATTTCTTAAAAGTATTTTGTTAAGATTTCAAATTTTAAAGAATTTTAATTGCAAAAATAATTTTTTTTTACAATTTATTATTAAACTTTTCGAAGAAATCAATTATTTTTAAACATTTGAATCCATTATAAAAATTGATTATATTTTAAATTGTCTTCAAATTCTTTTGAGAAATTCAATTATTTTCGAGAAACTAAAAGTTAACGAAAATAATTAAATATTTGAAAAAGAAAACTAATTCTTCAGTTTTTATCATAATTTTTTAAAATTCAATTATTTTCAAAAAAAGTAAACTAAAATTTTTGAAGAAATATACTTTTTTAGAAAGATTATTAATAAAATTTTGAAAAAGTAGGTAATATATTTTTATATTTGTAATTATAATAGTTGAGAAGCTTGCTAATTTTTTAATATTTTTCCAAAATTCTTTTTAAAAAATCAATTATTTTCAAAATATTGTATTAAATTTCTACAAATGAAATAAAAAAAATAGTGAATGAAAAAATGAAAAAAAAATAAGAGAATAAGAGAAAAAATACAGTTGAAAAAAAGAATTGAACGTCCGTTCAGTTAGTTCGGACGTGGGTGTAGTTTACAACGTTTATGATCAACGATTGAATAAAATTTATATTTTTATAAGAAGAAAAATAATAAACTCTTTTTTTAGAAATATATTTCTTTTAAAAACTATTATTTTTAGATTATTCTTTAAAAATTTTATTTTAATCATGAAACTTTGAAAACACTTTGAAATTATATTTTTATTGAAAATTTTCTAAAAATTCGGTTCGAAAAATATTTTTTCTTCTAAATCATTGATCGTTGATAAACGTTGTAAAATTCACCAAAATTTTGTATATGGACATGAAAATTCGTTTGGAAATCAAAAAAGACTTTTGAAAATTTCGATATTCTTTGGAAAATTATTTACTTCTATTTCTCACGGTTGGAGATGAAAAGAACGTATTGATCGCTGTTGTAAATAAGCTTATCTTAATTAGCACACCTGTTGATTCTTGACAATCGAGTCAATTTTCATACTTGAATCTGTCACCTTGACTTCATATTTCTTGTAATCTCTGGAAAGTTCTTATTGCCTTCAAGAAAAAAAAATTAAAATAATTTCCATTCAACTAAAGTTCGCCAATATTGTTCTATTTTGTAATTATTTTTCTCTTCTCTCGACTTTTTCTTTCTTAACTTTTCTTCTTTTAAAAGAAAGAAATTTTTTTTCTTCTATAAAATTTAAAACTGAAAAGAAACTTTGTTTTTTTTTGCCTTATGTAATTAAATTTTTGTTTTGTTGAAATAAGTAGAAATGGACGCAGTTTCTTTCTTCTTATTTTGAAATAAACAAGACCCGATTTCCTTCAATGGTTTCGAATAATAATTATTAAGAATGATTATTACGAAAGGATGTGGTGTGTTTAAAATGAGATTTAGAATAATCAGTGAAGCGTTCTTTTTTTCTACTTTTCTTTTCACTTCTGATTTCGCGTGTAATATAATTTTCTGTTTGCAATGAGAGTATACAGATTATACCACCTGAAGTGAAATAACCGTGACATTATTAAAGAATTCTGGTTTCACAGTGATTCATTCTGTTGTAATTTAAAACCCCTTTGGAAACACTACAAAACGAACGTTAGTCACCCAAGAATCCGGTCTTCTCAATAATCCATATTTCATACGAAAAGAAAAAAACAATTTACTTCCGCTTCCACTACTGTGATAAAATATTGGTACACATGATTTCTAATTCTTGTGCAACACTTTTTCTCTTGTTACCAATTTTATATCTATTCGAGATAATCGAAAATTTGTATATAAAATTTTCAATTAATTTTGTGGGTAATTAATTATTATTCACTTTTAATTAATTCAGTCAATTCAATTAATGGCAATTTACTAATTCATTAGCTGGAAATAACTGAATTTTAATTTTAAATTTTTAACGATTAAAAATGTGTAATTAACATTTTTCGTTTTTTAACAAACAAAAATCACATATTATTTTTTATTAAATTTTATTTTTTATTTATTAACTTTATTAATTTTACACTCCGAAAATTTTGAAACTTTAAAAGAACGAAATATTTTTTGTATAAATATTTTCAAAAAATTATTAAGTAAAATGAAAAATATTTTTCAAAACATTTTTCAATTAATTAATTGAATTAGTATTTAATTCAATTGAAAACGAATTTTTCTAATTCATTAGCTGAAATTAAGCTTTTAATTAATATCCTCAAAGTTTCGAACGTAGGAACGAATGAATTTTATTTATTTATTTAAATACTGCTGTAAAATCAGACAAAAATTAATAATTATCGCCTAATTATTTAATAAAAATTAATAAAAAATAGTCAAATTTGATAGCAAATAATTAATTTTTTTTTATAAATGTTTCATTAAAATTTTTGAAAATCAAATTTTGAAGAATTTTGATTGCAAATATTTTTAAAAAATTTAATTGAAAATAATAAAAATTTTTATTAACGTTCTACGAAAATACTTAAAAATCAAATTTTGAAGAATTTTAATTGAAAATTATGAAAATAATTGAAATCTTATAAAATTTCATTGAAAATAATTTATTTTTTTATAAAGTTTAATTAAAATTATTAAAAATAAAATTTTGAAAATTTTTTATTGTCAATTTTGAAAATAATTCAAATTTTGTATATTTAAACGAAACTGATAAATGTTTTTTTCTATATTTCATTAAAATTTTTGAAAATCAAATTTTGAAGAATTTTGATTGCAAATAGGATTGGAAAATAATTCAAATTTTGTAAAATTTAATTGAAAAATAATTAATATTTTTATTAATGTTTTATTAAAATTAATAAAAATCAAGTTTTGAAGAATTTTTATTGCAAATTTTGAAAATAAATGAAAGTTTGTATAATTTTCACGAAACTGATTAATGTTTTTTTTCAATGTTTCATTAAAATTTTTGAAAATCAAATTTTGAAGAATTTTGATTGCAAATATTGAAAATAATTCAAATTTTGAAGAATTTTGATTGCAAATATTGAAAATAATTCATGAAAATAATTCAAATTTTGAAGAATTTTGATTACAAATTTTGAAAATGAATGGAATTTTGTAAAATAAAATTGAAAATATATTTTTTTTTAATTTCATTAAAAAAAAATGATTAATAATCAAATTTTGTAGAATTATAATTTAAGATTTGGAAAATATTTGAAATAAAGCTTTTTATTAATATCCTCAAAGTTTCGAACGTCGAATTGAATGAATTTTCTTTATTTATTTATTAAATTCAAATACTGCTGGAAAATCAGGCAGAAATGAATAATTATCACCTAATTATTTATTAAAATTAATAAAAATGATTTATTTGATAACAGACTAATTATTATTTTTAATTATTTAACCTTTTATACTTATTTTTCACTCTGAATCAATTATTTTTAATTTTCAATTATTAAACGATTTTTTTCCTTTGAATTTGAAAATTTTTAATGTTAATTATTTTTTAATTTCTTAATTTCTTAATTTTAAATGTTAATTTTTTTTTAATTTGTTAGTTTTTAATTTTTCACTAATAAATTTTTAATATTGTTATTAAATAGTTGGAAATTGTTATACGCGATTGTAATGAATTATATTTGATGAGTGGTGCAATTATTTTCGCGATAGGAATTTAATTTGAAGATTGTCTAAATGATTTTTTGATAAATGATTATGGTCTCTGTGGATAATACGGATTCTCGGCTCGTTTATTCGCAAACTTTTGAAATTAATGTTGAAACTTGTAACAATCTCAACTTTAATAAGATCCCGAGAAGTTTGTGCGGAATCAAACTCAACACTAAACTTCAAATTCTTTGGTTATAGTGAGCCGCAATGTGACTCGTCTATGCAATAAACTAGAACCATTAAAATATGAATATATAGGAAGCAATTTAAGTTTGTGAAAAATCATTTTAATAATTTCTTCAAAGTAATTTTTTTTCTCCATTTTTTGGAAAAATTTTTTTTACTTTACTTTCATATTTATTCAAAATTTATTTTTACAGATTGTTCGTTGCTTTAAAAATTGTATTTAATATTAATAATAATTTTAATTCCAATAATAATAATAATAATAAATTTTTTAACAAAAAACAAAATAATAATAATAATACATTTTTTATTGCAGGAAGATTCTGATGACGCGATGACATTACACTGGTGGATGCACTGGTTTTGGATTACGGCGAATATTTTTGGTAAATAAAATATGTCTCTAATTTCGTTAAAATTTTGAATTTTTGTCAAAAAATATTCTTTTGCTAATTTAGAAAATAAATTTCCTTCTATGATGAATTTTTTAAAAATTTTATTCCAGTAATTTTTGAAAATATTTAAATAGAAAAAAATATTCGTTCATTTCAACGAAAATAAATCGCAAAATTACAAAAAAAAAAAAAAATAAATAAAAAGACAATTTTATGAAATAATTTAAAAATAAAAAACATTAATGTCGATTATTTAAAAGTTTACCTTTATTTTAGTTAAAATTCTTTTTCTATTTAGAATAAAATACGTTTTATTTTTATCCAACTTCGCAGGGAAATAAATAAAAACTATTTTATTCAGCGGTTAGCAGTATGACTTTTTTTTCTTATCTTTTGTATACAAATAGAGTATTGTTAAATTTTAAATATAGCAAGACCTGGTTTCTCCAGTTTTTATCTTAATTTCTAAAAGACATTTTTTGAAATAAATTTACTGGACGCGAAAAGGAAATAACTTGAAATTAGTTTGGAAAATATTTGTTTATAAACTAAATAACTTGATTTCAATTCATTGATTTGCAATTTCCTGTCGAGAAGTCGGAAAAAGAAATGAAAGAGAAGCAATTTTTTTCACAGATGGAACAATTGCAATTAAATTACACTTTGAAAATTGTGATTCTTTTTTAATTACTTCATTCAAATTCTTAAAAATCAAATATCAAAAATTTTTTTTATTGTAAATCTTTAAAATAATTTAAATTCTGTAGAATTTTATTGCAAATAATTGATTTTATAAAAGTATTTAATTTTAATTGGAGATTTTGAAAATAATTCGAATTTTGTATAATTTTAAAACAAAACTGATTAATGTTTTTTTAAAAATATTTCATTAAAATTTTTGAAAATCAAATTTTGAAAATAATTCAAATTTCGTAACATTCAATTGAAAATAATTAATTTTTTTTATAAATGTTTCATTACAATTAATAAAAATCAAATTTTGAAGAATTTTGATTACAAATTTTACAAATAAATGAAATCTTGTAAAATGAAATTGAAAATAATTTATTTCGTTAAAGATATTTTTTCATTAAAAAAAATGATTAATAATCAAATTTTGAAAATTTATAATTGAAAATAAGGAAAAAAATATTATTAAAAATGATTGTTTTCTAAAAGTATTTCATTAGGATTTGAAAAAACGAATTTTCAAGAATTTTAATTGCAAATTTTTTAAATAATTGAAATTTTTTAAAGTTTTATTGAAAATAATTGATTTTTTCAGTATTTCATTACAATTTTTAAAAATAAAATTAAAGAAATTTTTTAAGTAATGTAAATTTTGTAAAATTTTATTCTAAATAATTTATTTCATAAAAGTATTTCATTCGGATTTTTTAAAAATCCGAAAATAAAAATTTTATTTTTTGAAAATATAATTAAAATTTTGTACAATTTTATTGAAAATAAATGATTTTTCAAGTAATTCAATTAAGAATTTGAAAACTAAATGTAAAGAATTTTATTTGCAGATTTTGAAAAGGATTGAAATTCTGTAATATTTTATTAAAAATAATTTGGTTTTTTTGTATTTTATTTAAATTTATGAAAACGAATTTTGAAGAATTTTAATTGCAAAGTTTGAAAATAGTAGAAATTTTGTAAATTGTAATTGAAAATAATTTATTTTTAAACCAGCATTTGATTAAAATTATTAAAAACCAAATTTGGAGAATTTTAATTGCAAATTTTGTAAAATTTAATTAAAAATCCTAATGTTTTTTTTATATTTTATTAAAATAAATATTGAAAATTAATTTTTGAAGAATTATTATTACAAATTTTTCAAATAATTGGAATTTTGTAAAGTGAAATTGAAAATAATTTTTTTAAAATAATTTATTTCTTTAAAGATTTATGATTAAAAATCAGATTTTAAAGAATTATAATTGACAATTTAGTAAATAATTGAAATTTTGTAAAGTGTAATTGAAAATAATTTTTTTTATATAAGCGTTTCATTAAAATTATTAAAAATAATCAAGTTTTGAAGAATTTTAATTGCAAATGTTGAAAATAATTCAAATTTCGTAAAATTTGATTCAAAATAATTAATTTTTTTTATAAATGTTTCAGTAAAATTAATAAAAATCAAATTTTTATGAATTATTAACTAAAATAAATTTTGTTTTCCAGGAATTATGGCAGTCCCCTTGCCATCGACCACCGAAGGGCCTAGAATAGAAGACGAAAATCAAATGTCGACCACCGATTCAATAGTACACTCGACAATATTAACGAAATTAGATGATAATAATAATAAAAATTCAAGTACTGAAAATTTTAGAATAGCCAAAGCCATTGGCATATTTCCGTCTATGAATACAGCAAAAATAATTTCAAATAACAATAAACAATCAACGCCTGCTGCTGCTGCTGGTGATATTGTCACGAGTTCGAGAACAAAATTAAAAGGCTTGCCAGAAAGTGTAACACTTGGTGTTTATAATGATAATAAAAGTTCAGTGATTCGAATGCCAGGAGTGAAGAAGGATAGTAAAATTTCTTGGATTTTAACATCGAATAAAACGAGTCGAACAAAATATGGCGATGAAAAAACGTCGGAGGTTGTTAGAAATTTCAGTACCAGTGAATATGAAAGTCTCACTGTCTTGCCTTTACAAGAGGGATTTAAACTAGTCGTTAATAATAAAAGTAATCCATTCTCAGCCACTAGTGGAAAATTAAGAACTGTCAACGTTTCAGAGGATTTACTAGTTGAGGAAGATCTCACCGCGCCACAATTAATTGCCACTGCTTCTTCTATTCTTGATGGTAATATACTTTTGAAAGAAATTTATTGTTTTTACACGTTTAGAGATTTTAGAAAAATAATTTCTAAATTTATGAAAAATAATTTCTAAATTCTTGAAATTTAATTTCTAAATTTGTGAAAAATAATTTCTAAATTCTTGAAATTTAATTTCTAAATTTGTGAAAAATAATTTTTAAATTCTTGGAATTTAATTTCTAAATTTTAGGGATCACAGTTAATTGCCTTTTTTTAACTAATTCCTTTTTCTTGCTCTTTTCTCCTTTTTTATCGCCTTAAAGTAATAAAAAAAACCCTAAAGTACGTAAAAATCAATTTCTTCCGCTTTTCTTTTTTTCTTACAAGGTAACAAATATATAGTAACTTTTACTATTTACGAACTAAAAATCAAACTGTTTGGAATTACTGTCAAATTTCATTTGATTTTATAAATTGTACTAAAATCGAAATATTTTTTTACTAATTTTCAAAAATATTTTATAATATCAGTAGTAATTGAAATCCTTACGAATTTCAATTACTACTGATATTATAAAATTTACTCTGGAAATAACGATATTTGATAATAATTATTAATTATTTGATATTTGATAAATTTACTATTATCTAAGTTAATTTTTTTTGGTAAAAATTACGAGCCTCGGATAGTTTAACTTTTTTTCGACTTATTTTCAAAAAATTCGATTTTTTCGACTTTGCTTCCGAATATTGAAACAAAATACCACTTTCGATTTTTGTTATAAAAATGGAAATTACTTCGATTTTTAAAGTGCACAAAGAATTAACTATAGGCAAATTATATAAAAATAAATTATTTCAGACAATTTTTTAAATATATAATTAAATTAAGTAAAATTTCATAAAAAATAGTTCATTTTTTTTAAATACTTCGTTCAAATTTTTGAAAATCAAATTTCAAAAAATTTTAAATGTAAAACTTTAAAATCCTAATTGGAATTCTGTAAAATTTTCTTGCAAATAGTTGATTTTATAAAAGGATTTGATTAAGATTTTGTAAAAATCAAATTTTTGACGAATTTTAATTGAAAATTACGAAAGTAATTATTGAAAATAAAAATTTTTTTAAAAAAATATAATTAAAATTTTTGAAAATCAAATTTTGAAGAATTTTTATTACAAATTTTCAAGATAAATAAAATTTTATAAATTTAAATTGAAAATAATTTATTTTTTGTACTATTTCATTAAAATAATTGATAATCAAATTTTGAAGAATTCTAATTGCAAAATTTTGAAAATAATTAAAGTTTCATAAAAGTTTGGTTTCAAATAACTGGTTTTTTTATAATTTCATTAAAATTTTGTAGAATTTTAATAGCTAATTTTGAAAATAAATGAAATTTCTTTAAATTAATTGAAAATAATTAATTTTTTTATAAATATTTCATTAAAATTATTGAAAATCAAATTTTAAAGTATTTTCATTACAAAATTTTGATAATAATTCGAAATTTTGTAAAATTAAATTGGAAATAATTGATTTTTGAAAAATATTTCATTAAAATTTTAAAGAATTTCAATTGGAAATTTGAAATTAATTGAAATTTTATATAATTTTATTGAAAACTATTAATTTTTTTAAATATTCCATTAAAATTTTTGAAAACCAAATTTCGAAGAATTTGAATTACAAAAATTTTGATAATCATAGCAATTTTGTAAAATTTGTTTGAAAATAATTGATTTTTTAAATATTTTATTATTGTTTTTAAAAATCAATTTTAAAACAATTTTAATTGTAAAATTTTAAAAATAATTGAAATTTTGTTAAATTTTATTTGAAATAATTGATTTTTCAAGTAATTGACTAAAATTTTTGAAAACCTAATTTCGTAGAATTTTAATTGCAAATTTATAAGTGATTCAAATTTTTTAGAAATTTGGTTTCAAATAATTGATTTTCCTTAGCGTTTTAATAAGATTTTTTAAAAGTAGGTAATTAAAATTTTGTACAATTTTATTGTAATTTTAATTTTTAATTTTATTTTTTTAAGTAATTTTTTAAAAATATATCAATAAGATTTTCAAAAAATAATATTATGACAAATTTTATTTTGCAAATTTTAAATAATTTAAAATAATTATTTAGATATTTAAATTCACCTTTTTTATCTAAAATTACATGAAAAAATCACTGTGTGATCCCTGAAATTTATATTCGCTATCAAATTTAAAAAAGAAAATTAAATAAGCATTAGAATACAAGAATCTGAAAGACAATTGAATTTCAAATCATGTTTTTTGCATTCTAATGCTCAATTTTATTATTGATTAGTTTTTGGCCAATTTCATTGAAATTCAAAAGTAATTATTTTATTAAAAAGAAAAATTTTCTATGGCACTTCTGAAAGAAGCTATCAATATATTCATGAAATGGAAATATATTCATGAATACTTGTAAATAAATATTTCAATGACATTGTTTCCAAGATATACACCACGTGGAGGTAACCAATCATGTATCTCAAAAAGAAAATATTTTTTATTTTTCAAAACAAATAATTTTTAAAAAGAATTTTTGATATATTTCTCATGTCAGTAAAGTTTACAACGTTTATGATCAATGATTAAAATAAAAAAATATTTCTTAATCGAAAAACAATAAATAGTTTGTTTAAAATTATTTGTTCTCAAAAAACTGTAGAGCAATTTTGGTACAAAAATTTGCAAGATTTTAAATACAAAACTATTTTTTTCTTCTAAATTGTTGATTATAAACGTTGCAAAAATCACTGAAGTTGTAATTTTTTTTATATATTTTAAAATTTTATATTTTATATTTTTTGTTTATAATTTTTTGTGTTTTAAACAAATTGAAATCCACAACGTTGTTCAATGAAAAAAATTTTTCTATATAAGTTTATTGTTCAAAGATAATGAAACAGAATTGCCACAAAAATATTAAAAGAGGTAGAGATTTATTTATGTTTTAACAATAATTGTTGTATATTTCTTAAAATTATTATTATTATTAATATTAATTCGAATGTATTAAACAAAATTTTTGTCGTTGATCATCGTTGTGAAATTCATCTTCGTGAAATAAATTGAAATTTGTTTGTATAAATTTTCTATTTGATGACATTTAATAAAAGGAAATAAAATGAAATTGCAGCTGAATTAAGTGATTCAACGAGACTCAGCCGAGCAAGAAGTGCTTTCTCGAGTGATTTTCAGAGAGATCAAAAACAGGATGATAATTCACGATCACAAAGTAGTGATAGCGGTAAAAATTGTCCTGATGTTGGGGCAGAAGACAACGGTGCTTCTGTTGCAGATATTGCGATAATCACTGGTAGTTGTTTGGCGAGCATCGCATTACTGAGCACAATAGTGACCGTAGGATATATTATGTATAGGTAAATAATTATCTTATTATCTTTAAATTTCCCTCAAATTTCTCTCTTTCAATAATTTCCAACAATTTTATTTTCAGAAAAAAATATTTAAATCCACCGCAAAGTTTAAACAGCGACAAGTGCAGTAATCCTGATAGTTCCGGTTACATTGATGACTCCACAATTAGAGTAAATGTTTATGAATATTTATTTAAATCTTATATTTAAAAGAAATTGGTTTACTAATTAAATATATTAGTTATTAATTATTATAATTACGCTCATAACTCGCGAAACGCGGTATTCGATTTATTATTATTTGCAAATTAAAAAATTAAATTATATTTTCAATAATATAAACACCAATTTTTGAATAATTCTAGATTCAAAATTTAATAATTAAGTACATAATTAATTATTATTGTTTATTTTCAAAAATTTTAAGTCCCTAAAAATAGCGCGGCGCTGAGAATCAAAAAATTTTTTTTGCACAAAACCGAAAAAGTCAAAATTTTGTCTGGAAATCAGGGAAAAGTCAGGAAAAAACGAAATAAATTTTTTTTTGCAACCCTTTTTGTTATTTTAGTTACAAATTTCAGTTGATTTTTTTAAGTGTGAGAATTAAAAGATTAATAATAATTAATAATTATTTTTTTTCCAGGATAATTCGGAAGAAATGTACAGTCTGGACAATGACTCATTCTTGAATTCATTGGAGGCAATGACAATACAAAATTATTGGACCGATAGCGTGAAACACACAAAACTGTGACAAAGTGTTTCTCGATGATGCAAAAAATCAAGGGCGTTATCGAAATCAGTTGTTGGGAAGAGATTAAAAGAAGCGCTTTACAGAGTACTTAAGCGTTCACGAACGCCTATTTATTATACTAAATTATTACTCATTAAAACGAAAACAAGCTCATCATAAGAAAATTTCTCCAAATTTACAATAATTTACCGCGAAAAGAAAATATTACAAATTTTTACTAATTTTATCAAAATTTAGTAAATTATTGAAAAAAAAGAAAGTTTTACTTCTTTTTTAAATTTTAAAACAAATTTCTACATTTTATTAATAAAGTTTTTATTTTACTAAAATACGTTTCTCTTTCGTAAAAATGAAAAACTAATTAAAAAAAGAAAAATTCAATAAGAATGAAAATTGAATTTTCTAATAATGTTTATTAAAAATTTGAAGAAATTTTCTTGACAAAAAAAAACCTTCGATAAACGATTTTCCGATCACGCACTTAACTATTTTCATGAATTAGAAATTTGAAGGATTTTAATTATCAATTATGAGTAATGGAATGAACGAGGAACGATCATTCTCGGCAGTTAAAAAACAAAATAGTTGCACTGAAATTTTTTTTACTATTTTCAACTTCGTGAAGTAATTGAGAATTTTGAAAAAAACATTTATTTGCAACATTTAATTGCAACATTTATGAAGTTATGTCATAATATTAGAATCGAAATATTAATTAATAATTTTATTACATATTTAATAATTACGTTACATAATTTTTAGGAAATTATTGATCAAATTCAACTAATTGTAAATTAGTTAATTATATAATTTTTTTTTAAGAAAAAGCCCTTTAGTTGTTGTTTTTCAAACAAAAATTTCTATTTGTTACAGTTGATTATTAACGTAGTTGAGAATTGACTAAAAATTTGTTGTCAGGGTAAAATAAAAATCAATTTTTGCTGTAAAATTGTTATAATGATAAAAAAAATTCTTAGGAATTAAGTACAAATATAAGACTAGGTCTAGGTTAATTGAAGTATAAGTATATATTTGACTCCGAGTATGTACAGAATTTTCCAATTCGAGAAAAGTTGGAATTTGTAATATTGTGTATTACTTAAAAATATCGCTTTGCGATCCACATCCCAATGACGTAAAGTTTCTCACTGCGCTTTAAAACAAAAAGGCACTTTTTTCAAATAAAAATTATCAAGCAAGTTTTAATAAGCATGTATTGTAAAAAATACAATATATATATTTCCGGAGACAGATTTCAAGGATAAAAAAAAGATCGGACCAAAATATACGTAGATTGCCTTTTTCAACATATCCATGAATAATTCTTTTTAAATTTTCAATGCGCTTTTTTCAATTCTCGATCTTTGGCTTCCAGTGATTTATGAATATATTTTTTTTTTACTTTTTAAAGTTTATTGTTATGATAGATAATTTAGAATGAAATTTTAAATTTTATCGAAAAATTGTAAATATATATTAATATTATGATTGAAATAGCTTCGTGTTTTGTATATAATTATATTTTTTTATTATTTTATTGTATAGTTGGTGATCGAGAATTAAAAAGCATTAATTAATTTGGTAGTTGTGTTTATTCTGTATAAGAAGATTATATTTCTATACAAAAAAAAAACCATTTTTTGATAGAAGAATGAATTCTATTGTGATTATAGATTAACGATCTTAATGGAAATTAGCCACATTGTCACCGGGTTGTGAATAAAAAAATATTATTATTAAAATTTGTATTATTTTATTACCTTTCAATTTAAGTTTTAATTTATTTTTTTTAATAAGCAAATCGTGACGCACTTTCAAGAAGAATTTACACGATTTACAAGGAGCAAACAATTTTAGGTTATGTTTATTATTTTTGGAATAAATATTCAGAAAGTGAATCAATTACTATTTACAAGTTATCGATGTTCAATTCTTCGTTACATTTGAAATATTCAATAAAAACTGGTTTTAAATTTGTACAATTAAAAAGGAACTTTTAATCAAAAGAAATTTGACCCGAACATAACCTACAATTCTTTTGCTTCGGAAATTGAAAATTTATAATTTCAATAAGAAAAATACATATTTATAATTTACAAAATTAAAAAAAATGTTATAAATTAATTATAAAACAGGTTTTTATCTTTTAAAGAATCATTTTCTTAACTTTAAAGAAATTAATACGATTAAACATAAAAAACCTTTGACATATATATATATTTTGCTGATTTTGCTTTTGTTAAAAACGTTAAAAATTTACGTGGGTGAAGTTCACAACGTTTATAAATACAACGATTGTAAGAAAAAAATATTTTTCACCTAGAAAACAATATTTTTTGTTGACAACTTTATATTTTTCAAATTGTTGATAAAGAAAATATTGTTGCAAAAAATTTGCAAAAAATTTGAATAGAAAAATTGTGAACATTTTACCAACGTGAACTTGTCACTTTTTTAAAGAACGTTTGTAACATAAACGTCTAATAATTAACACGATTGCTAATAGTTTATTTATAGCAAACAATGAAATCATTGAGGAAAATTAATTATCAGTGAATTTTACTTGGCAATTATGTTATAAAAAATAAAATTACAGCACTACAGGTTTTAGAAATTTTGAATTTGTGACGTCACAATTGAACATACTGCAGAGCCTGCAGAGTAGTCAGCTCAGTCAGCTGATCGTTTTGAAGCTGCATTCGCACGTGTTCGTATAATAAGAGTCCTAAGAATATTTACTGAAGAAAAAAGTCAATTAATTTAATAGAGATAAGTTGATTAGTGCATTTTGACGATAAGCAATACAAGGAAATGCAATAGTTTTGCCTTAGAAATAAGCAAAGTGTTGCAAAAACAGCTTTTATTATGTTCTGTTTACCATTCTTATTGGCAGAAGAACATTGTTATTATCATATTCTTGCGAATTACGAAAAGTGAAACGAACTAGTCAAACTTGGAATTTTTAACATAATAACAGTACTTAATTAAAAATGCAACGAAAAATATTTAATATACAATTATTTCAAAAGAGATTCTACAAAAAACAGGCGGTTCGAGTGAGATTTGCTCCAAGTCCTACAGGTAAATTTTTATTTTTTTACATTGGAGTTAATTTAAATTTTTATTCCTTTATCTTAATATGGCGAAAATATCTTCTAATGTTTAATTTCAAATATTTCACACTGCAAGAATTTTGAAAGTTTTTAAGCTTTTTAAGATTTTGCTTAAGATATAAACGTATAGGTTAGAAAATTCTTTAATACGAAAATAATTTTTTCACGACTATTGTTCTCTTCACTGAAGATAAATTAGAAAATTTAAATATTTTCAGGTTTTTTGCATCTTGGGGGTTTGCGAACAGCATTGTATAATTATTTGTACGCTCGTAAATACAATGGTTCGTTTATTTTGCGAATCGAGGACACGGATCAATCGAGAGTTGTTCCTGGAACAATGGAACAATTGCACGACGATTTACTGTGGGCGGGAATTATTCCAGATGAAGATCCGATAAGAGGTGGTCCATCAGGACCGTATATTCAGTCGAAAAGATTGGAAATTTATCAGTAATCAACATAATTTTAACGTTCAGCAAAAAAAAAAATTCTTTCTTTAATCAAAAATTTAGACATTAGAAATTTTTAAAGCACTTTAAAAATTTATTTTTAAAGTAAAAATTTTACTTTTACTTTTTCATTTATTTTACTAATTTAATAAATTTTTATTTTAGGGAAAATTTAAAAAAGCTCCTGGATAATGGAACAGCGTACCATTGTTTTTGTTCAGAGCGTAGATTAGAAATGCTCAAACGAGAAGCTGCTCGTTTAGGTCAAGTGCCGAAATATGATAACAGATGCCGAAGTTTGAGTAAAGAAATGATAAAAGAAAAATTAGGAATGGAAGAAAGTCATTGTATTAGATTTAAGGTACATATTTAATTTTTTATTTTCATAATTGTGAAATTAAGTTATTCAAATAAAATTCAAATTTCTTTGGAGAAATTATGTTTATTTGGTTTATAAAATTTTTTATAAAATTCAGTAATTCTTTTATTTTTGTTACTTTAGCTATTACCGACACCAAAACCTTTTAAAGATTTAGTTTACGGGGATATAACGTTTGACGCTGCCACTGAAGGTGATCCAGTGATTATGAAATCCGATGGATATCCTACTTATCATCTTGCAAATATTATCGACGATCATTATATGGGAATTTCACACGTTCTCAGAGGCGTTGAGTGGCAGATTTCCACTCAAAAACATATATTACTCTACAAGTTTGTATATTTTCCACAGAATTTTTATTTATTTATTTCTAAAATTCTAATTTTTAATTTTTCTGCCTCGGATTGTAACGACTTTTTGCATTTTTTCCGACTGTTTTAAAAAGAAGTCCATTTTTTTCAAATTATTTTAATAAAAAATGCATGCGACCTTTTTTGACTTTTCTTCCAAATATTGCAACAAAATACCACTTTTTTGGTATTAAAATGCAACATATTTTGATTTTTATTTATAGTTTGAAAAATAATTGTAGTCAAATCATTCAAAAATTATCTTTAAAAATTTTTCTTTTAGGATAATTAAATTTTTGAAATATATAATTAAACATTTTTAAATAATTGAAATTTTATAAAATTTTATTAAAAATAATTGATTTTTCTTTAAGTATTTAAATAATAAAATAATATTTGTTTGGAAATCAAACTTTGAAGAATTTCAAACAAAAATTTTTAATTTGCAAAAATTTAAATGAAAAATCTGCAAATGAAAGTTAATGAAGATTAGCTTTCAAAAAATTATATTAAAATATTTTTTAGAAAAGTAATTCTTAGAGTTTTTTCCATTGTAATTTTTTAAAATTCAATTATTTTTAATATTTTCAATTACACATTTCCGAAAATTCAAATGACTACAAAAAATTACATTAAAAACTTTTGAATAATTTGATGTTTTAGAATAATTATTAAAATTTTGAAGAAGACAATTATTGAAAAAACATTTAATTACAATTCTTCGAAGGAAATAAATTTATATTTTAAATTATCTAAAAATTCTTTTAGGAAATTCAATTATTTTCGAAAAAATACATTAAAAAGTTTATAAAAAAATAATTCTTAGAATTGTTTATCATAATTTTTAAAAATCCAATTGTTTTCAAAAAAAATTTTAAATTTCAATAATTTGTAAATTTGTTAATTATGTATATAAATTTAAAAATCTATTAGCTTACAAAAATTATTTAAAATTTATTATTTACAAATATGTTCAAAAAATTCATTTGCAAATTTTTAAAATAATTGAATTCGTAAAAATTTTAATTATTAATCTTCAAATGAAAATTAATGAAAATTAGCTTTCAAAAAATTATTTTTAGAAAACTAATTCTAGTTTTTTTCATTGTAATTTTTTTAAAACTCAATAATATTTAATATTTTCAATTACACATTTACGAAAATTTAAGTGACTACAAAAAATTATATCAAAAACTTTTGAATAATTTGATTTTTTAGAATAATTTTTAAAATTCTGAAGAAGACAATTATTTAAAAGAACATTTAATTACAATTCTTCGAAGGAAATAACTTAGATTATTAATTATCTAACAACTATTTCAAAAAATTCAATTATTTTCGAAAAAATATATTAAAAAGTTTTTAAAAATTAATTCTTAGAATTTTTTAGCATAATTTTAATTAAAAATTCAATTATTTGAAAAATTTTTTGTAAATTTCAATACATAATTTGTAAATTTTCTAATTATATAAATTAAAAAATCTGTTATTTTACAAAATTTATTATTTAAGAATTTATATATTCAAGAAATTTATTTGCAAATTTTGAAAATAATTGAATTCATAAAAAATTTTAATTATAAATCTTTAAATAAAAATTAATGAAAATTAGTTGTCAAAAAATTTTATTGAAATATTTTTTAGAAAATAATTGAATTTTTGAAGAATTACACTTGCAATTTTTGAAAATAATTCAATTTCAGAAGATTTCAAATTGAAATTATAATTTCAAAATTTCAATTCTTGTGAAAAAATACCTAAATTAAGCATTTGTTGAATGAAACTTTTGAATATTTGAAAAATTTATTTTAAAAATCAGTCAAAGGTCAGGGAAATACAGAATTAAATTTTTGTGACTACACTCAATAAAATAAACGACTTTTTTGATTTTTTTTGTGTCCTTAATCGACCAAAAATTTTTTGCGCCTTAAAGTCAATCCGAAGCCTATATTTTTAGAAAATGAGACAATTTTTAAATTCTACATAAATATAGTTCAAAAATATTTTTAATTTTACAAATTATACTGAATAATATAATTTCTATTCTGTAATAATATTTGGATTTCAGAGCTTTTGGCTGGACACCTCCACACTTTGGACATTTACCATTAATTTTAAATTCTGACGGATCAAAACTTTCCAAACGACAAGATGATATACGAGTCGATTTTTATAGACAGAACGGAATATTCCCGCTAGCTTTAATAAATTATATAACTACCACTGGTGGTGGTTTTGAGAGAGAACAAGGAACTCAACAATGCTACAATTACGAGGAATTAATACAACAGGTGCTTTTTCATTTTTTTTTCTTTTAAATATTTGTCAAATAAATCAATTTTCTTTACATTTTTTCCACTCTCAATATTAATATTCATTTTCAGTTTGCAGTTCAGAAAATAAAACCAAGTTCATCGAAACTGAACCCCGAAAAACTGTTGGAATATAATCAACTCGAATTGTCCACTTTATTAGAAAATGAGAAAAATAATAGAATTTTCATTTCCAGTATTGTTAATTTGGTGTGTGACACTTATCCCGATAGGTAAATCTTGCATTTTAATTTTCAAACAAAATTTTCCTTTTAAGTTATTTACTTCAATTGATCTTTCTCCATTTTTATAGAAAAACAGATGGCAGTTTAAAATTAGATGACGAAAATATACTTTCGACTTTAAAGTGGGCAAAAAATAGAATAACGAAATTATCAGATTTGGTTGAATCAAATTTGGCATTTTTGTGGGTTGTTCCGCCTTTGTCTCAAATTTCAAAAAATATTAAACATACAGGTGCGTTTTTTTTCAGCAAAGAAATTTATCCGTGAAATTTAGCAATAAAATATGGTAAAATTTCCATTTTATCCACAGATACGGTGCAGATCTTAATTGAAAAATTGACAGATCTCGAGGAGAATAATTTTCAAAATAATTTCCTTTTATCTTATCTAAGAGAGTTGGCAAAAAATAATTCAGTTCCGTTTGCTGAATTTATGAAAACTCTTCGATTTTTACTTAGTGGACTGAAGGTTAGTAATTTTATAAGAAAAAAAATTTTGTTTTTATATTCTTTTATTATATAAAATAAAATTTTTCAAAAATATGTAAATCTAATAAAATAAATACAATGAAAAATTAATTTTTTTTAGGATGGTCCAGGCGTGGGAGAAATGATGGAGATTCTTGGAAAAGAGAGAACTATAGAACGTTTGAAACGTTGTACCAGGTAAACAGTAGGAAGCATTTTTTTTTTGTTACTAGTCATCAATTAATATTTCATTATTATTATTTTTATTCCTTAGTTTGATATTTAGTCATTTTATTTTTTTTTTGTAATTTAAGTTTCATATTCGATTTTTTTTTAACCATCAAGAGTTTGAAAGTAATTTTTAAACTGTGATTGAACAAAACCATTAATATTTTTTTATATTTAGACATTTTATTTTTTTATTTCCTCTTTAAATTAATTTTCACTTTAGAATTTTTTTTTAACAATCACGATTTTGAAAGTAATTTTTAATCAGTGATAAAAACTGTGATTGAACAAAAGTATTAATATTCTTCTAGTGATGGGATCGACAAGCGGGATCGAAAATCAATTCAAGGAACATAAATTTATTCGCAGTCAAGTTGAAAGGAAGAAATAGAAATTTTGTTTTTTAAATTTTTACAAATAAATCAATACTTTTTGTACATAGCGTGTAAATAATTTACTTGTATTACGAATTTTTTGAAAATAAAATTGATTTAACGTAAAGAAAGTAATTTTCAAAAAAAGCTAAAAAATACAAGAATATTCAATTTTCTTTTCATGAAATTTTTTTCACTCTCAAAATGTATTAAATAATTTCGCAAATAAATGAGAAGAAAATGTTGAATTCAAAAATTTAAGTTTATTTTAACTTCGAATACACTGAAAAGTTAATCGATTGAAATAGAACAAAGATAAAAGTTTTGTAAATTGAATATAGTTTTGGGTATAAATATAAAATCACATAGATTAGAATTCCTCCCTCCAAGTTTTTCTCTCCTTTTTTTCAAATTTTCTCATGACTAAAAGCTATAGGAAATTTCGAATGAGCTATAATACTTCAACTACCATAAATATTTATGGAAATTACACGTTTTTTTTTAAAGAGGGGAAAATATTTTCATATTTCCGGGGAAAAAACTTTTACACGACTTACGCTTTTTTCGATGTTTTTTACAAGAATCTTTTCTTTTTTTTCTCAATATTTATTTTTTTTACCTACTCTATAATTATGATAATATATTGAAAGAATTATTTTCAAGAAATTTTAATATTTGAATTTAAGCGTTTTTTTTTAGAATTATTTCAATTTCTAATAAAAGTTGGTTTTTATAAATGAACAATTTTTAAATAATTCAATCAAATTGTAAATAGATATTTATACTTATTAACCGTATCCTATAATTGAAATTACAGGAAAATTCTGTTTTTTTAAATTAGAATTATTGAGAAGATTTCCGGTAAAAAAATATCGACCAGACTAACTTTCAGAAAAATATACACTCAACACTTCGGTGTAACAAATTCATACGCATATATACATATCACAGAATGTTCAGACTTAAATGAATTGCGGTGAAACAATCGTTTTCTACTTCTTAAAAAAATGTAATGTTCATTTTTCTTTTTCTTTTTCATTTTTTACTCTTTAAACATTCTTTCCTAATGTAATTAATGAAACAATCATTAATTTTCAAGAAGAGATTATTCATTTTTTGAAGAATTGGAAAAAGTGTCATATAAACACAAATTTTGTGTTCAAATGATGTTTATTTAAATATTAATTTAATTTATATTAATAAATTAATTAATAATATTAAAAAATTAAAAATTTAGCTCTTAATATAATTTTAGCTAACTTTTTATTTGTTAATTGTAATTCTGAATATTAATTATTGAATATAAATTTAAATTATAAATACGAATATAAATATTAATTATATTTCATATAATTAATTTATTGAATTATAACATAAAAGACAAAATTTCCGATGGAAAATTTCACCGAGATTCATTTACTACACTTATTTCCGATAGAATATTTTACAATGTGTTATAGAAGTTAAAAGTGAATAGAACTGTGAAAAAACAATTCTTATAAACTTGAGTAAGGCAGATTATTTTTTTTCGAAGAATTTGATTTCTTCTTTCTTTTGAAATGTGCGCTAAAATTAAACTTCGAAACATTTACAATATTTTATTAGATTCGCTCGATTCACATTCGCCCATTTTTTTTATATACTATTTTGTATTTTTTTCAATTCACTTTTCTAAAGAATTATTTCTATCTTACTATTATTATTATTATTACTTATTACTTTTATCGTTATTACTATTATCATTATCATTATTATTACTATTATTATAATAATAATTATATTAATATTATTATTGTAATATAATAATTATTATATTAATGTTATTATTATTATTATTATTATTATTACTATTATTTATCTTATAATTTTTTATTATTTTTTTCATCATAATGAGAAATAAACAAAAAAAATACATTTCAACGGAAAAAAGTATAATTAATTTGAATTTTTGACAAATTAGAAAAACAACGAAATTTATTTCGAAAAATTAAAATAAATAAAAGAAAAAGATTTTGAATTTGAATTTTTTAAGCTCAGTTTAGAATATACTTTTAGGGTTTTTTTTATAATATAAAAATTACGCTTTATTCTAAAGTAGAAGTGAGCGAATTTTGATTTACTTCGAGAATATAGTTTACGCTGAGTTAACGAGATTTCTTTTTCATTTATTGAGTATTTTTTTATCAAAGTACCTACTCTGAATATTATTCGATGTGCTATTAAAATAATTACTTATTTTTCATTTTTGCATATTTTAAATCGCAAACTATTTTTTTTTACACAATCATCAATAAATTTTCACAAAGAGTTCGATTTAAAGAATAATCAATAAATTTTCACAGAGTTCAATTTAAAGAATATCGACAAATTTTCACAGACTTCAATTTAAAGAATATCAACAAATGTTTAAAGAATCGAAATTCGAACAAAGAGTTCGATTAAAGAATAGCAACATACATTATTTACAGAAACATCAAATTACAATTATTGAAAATAGATTCTCATAAGTTGCGTATACTTTTGAGTTGAACTCAATGTTTTTTTCTAAAATAATAAAATTCAACTTTCAAGTTTAAATAATAGAATTTTGCTAATTAAGAGTCTACAATCAGTCTTTACTAAAACTTCCGAACTGTCATAAAGGTAAAGTAGATATATATATCAATTTTCAAGAAGAAGAAAAAAATGTTTCTCATATTTTTGAATTTTCGAAACGAGAAACATTTTTTAATACAGAAATCTTATTTTTTTTTTCACTTTGTAAAAAGAAAACTGTAAATAGAGTAAACTCATTATCACATCGAAAGCACATTTCACTGTGCGCAAATTTCCCAAGTGTATAAATCTACTTGACTGTCGAGAGAATATTGGTAACAAGATTGAGTAGTTTAGAGTTTACAGACTTACAGAAAGGCGCATAAGATCGTTACCGAAAATTGTATTAGAGGCACCACACAGTCAAACGCTTAATTTTATATATATTAATTACAATTATCTAACAAAGGAACTTAATTTTATTACAGACTTGTAAAAAAGATCTTAACACCTATAACAACTGTCCTGCTCGTCAATTTTTTTTTTTATTGAAATATCATTGTTTTTCGAATTAATTTTAGTGACAAGAATTAATATGACAAGAATTAATAGGACATGAATTAATATGTCAAGAATTGATATTAAATGAATTAATATGACATGAAATTAAATAAAATGAAATAAGTCTTCGAAAAATAATGATATTTCAGACGAGCGTTGGCAAGGAACAATATATTTACAATAAAATGGAGTAAGAAGTTTAAATCTCTTCAGTATTTCTACGTCAATATAAAGAAGTTTATAAATTCACTGAGAGAATTCGAAATTAAGGTCGTATTTTCTACATAATTAATTATTGAGATAGTTTCTATATCTATAAGAGTTTGAAAAGAAGCTTACGATTAATAAGTTTTCTCTATAATAATATAAAACTATCTCATTCACATAAAATTTATGCGTAGCGATTGAACGAGTTTTGCTTTAATAATTCCACAAATCAAGGGGAAATTTTTCCTCTTTTAATAATTATTTCCTAAATTAATTCTTTATCTACAAAATAAATTTGAAAATTCGAAAATCAGGCTTTGCATTCAATAATTATTTTTAAAATGTCTAAAATTCACTACGATAAAAAAATTGGAAAAAAAGAATTTTTTCTCTACTAGAATTTCAAAATTTCTTTCCTTGTTTTGTGGTAGAAAAAGCGTTTAAATCTCGTTCACTATTTTGTGCAAAGCAGCGGTATTATTCCAATCAACAATACCTTTGATTTGAGAAAAAAAAAAATATTTAATAAAACGTTCGTGAAAAATACACGTACATGTATTTTTATCTTTTTGATTAAAGAGACTAGAGTTTTGGCACGGTAACTACTAGGAGGAAATACTGTACGTATTTCCTTAAAGTAAACATTTTACGTGCCTTAACAAAACTAGGTGGTTTTCATTTACCTCGATATTTAGTATAATAAATACTTACTTCTTAGTATCGCAATCAACTATGATTGGATTCATTTCATTCTTTTTTTTTTGACGTCAATAAATGACGAGTATTTTAAATAACAATATCCTATTTATCGTGCGTGATGATTAATTAATTCCGTATTTTTCTACTACCTTAATTAATTAACCATCGAAAAAATATTTTGATTCATAAAAAAAAATTGACTATACTCTAGGAGAAAATAATAGAAATATCAACAGGACGAATTGTTGAAAAAATAGAAATGAAAATAGAAACAAAAATAAAAATAGAAATTAAAATAGAAATTAAAATAAAAATAAAAATAAAAATAAAAATAAAAATAAAAATAAAAATAAAAATAAAAATAAAAATAAAAATAAAAATAAAAATAAAAATAGAAATAAAAATAAAAAGCAAAAATTGAAATAAAAATAGAAATAAAAATAGAAATTAAATAAAAATAAGAATAAAAAAAAATAAAAAATAGAATTAAATTAAATTAAAAATAGAATTAAAAAAAATCATAAATAAAGAACACAGTCGACAGTGAAAGATAATAGTGATTGAAAAAATTATTTTCGAGAGCAAAAATTACTTTTCTACCGGCTTAATCGAAATTTGATCTGATCACCAATTTTCATCCACGATTGCCTGGCAAGATTAGCTATTAAGATCGTTAATTGCTTGTAAAATACGCTTCACGTGACCGACCTTTGTAATTCCTAACTCCTTCAAATCTCTTCTGGCCAACGATAATAATTCCCGTCCACGAATATCGTGCGAAACAAAATTATCGACATACTCTCCAAGTTGAAGATTCTCCAGCCAACAGCAAACCTCCTGCACTCCCCAATGTGTCACTTGATCTCTCGCCGGATGATTGCCTGCATGTCCCACTGATCGTCTGAATTTCAGCCAAAACAGTCCTCGATGTCGATTCTTTTTGTCGCTCTGCTGAATGCAAATAATGCGGGAAAAAAGAAAATTCCGATTAATATTAGACAATTTTAAACAATTTTAAACAGTTTACAAAATTTTAACTAAATCAAAAAAATTTCAAACAAATTAAACAATTTTAAACAAATGGACCCCGAAGGAAATTAATTTTCGATTCCAGTCGATTTTTCAGTATAAAATTTTGAATTTAATTGTTTTCTTCAGACTTAACAAACTCAAGGCTCGAATCAGTGAAAGTATTTAAAAATAGTAAATACGGATTTTACGGACCAAAAATAAAAAAATACGGACCAATTATTACTGAATAAAATATAACCAGTCTGAGTCAAATAAGAGAACATTTTAATTAAAACTATAAATTAAATTTTTCATAACTTAATAACTATAAAACATGAAGAAAGGTACCTAAGAAGAAAACGAATTATAGGTTGGGTTCGAGTTAGATTTATCTTGATTAAAAGTTCATTTTTAATTATTTGAATTTTAAACCAATATTAATTGAATATTTTGAATATAATGAAAACTTGAAAACCAACAATTTTTAATTAATAATCTGTATTTTTACTCAAAAAATTTAAAACATAACTTCAAATTTTTTCCTTCTTAGGTACCTTTCTTGGGAACGCGTCACAATTATAAAGATAACTGATTAGTAAAATCATTATCAATTCAATTATTATTTACAAAAATTTTATTTGTATTTCAAATAATAGAAATTCTGCAATGAGTTTTATTATTTATGAAAATAATTAAAATTCCTATAAAGAATTTTATTATTTATGAAAATAATTGAAATTCCTAAAAAGAATTTTATTATTTATGAAAATAATAATTGAAATTCCTAAAGAGAATTTTATTATTTATGAAAGTAATTAAAATTCCTAAAAAGAATTGTATTATTTATGAAAATAATTGAAAATTCTAAAAAGAATTTTATTAATTATGAAAATAATTGAATGATTGCGAAGAAATTTATAAAAAAAAATTTGCAAATAATTGAATTCCTGTGAAATTTTTAGTATTTTATGAAAATAATTAAGTAGAATTTTATTAAATTTTTTTAAATAATTGGAATTATTTTGGAAAATTTTTGAAAATAATTGAAACTTTGCCAAGAATTTTATTAAAATTTTTGAAAATAATTGAATTTTGGAGAATTATTTAATTATTTCTAAAGATGGTTGAATTTCTGCGAAGAATTTTATTACTTTTGAAAATATTTGAATTTATGAAATCATTTGTAAATTTTCCAAATTATATCGTACAATTTACGAACTTTTCGTCTGTTCTCAATCAAATTACGGACTTTTTTTTTTAAAAACTTACTTTTACGGACTTCAAGCAATTTACGGACCTAGTTCGAGCCCTGCACACTTAAAATTCAAAATTTATAAAAAAAATCGTCTGAGACCGAAAACTAATCTATTTCCTGCGGGACGCTTAAAAAAAATTGTAAGACAATTTTTTCAATATACAATTAGGTACATTTCACTTCTGACAACTTTTTAGCGGGGAATTTGTACAGTATGCATCAATATAATTCTTTCAAAAAATTATTGACTTTGGTAATAATTACATAATACGATCATTGTTTACATTACTTAATTTTCAGCCTATTTGGAATGGCTAGTGAACCAACTTGAACTTCCATGCAATTATGGAAATAACACCGACTGTTAATTATTTACATAACTATAACGAAAGGGGAGCAAATTATTTAAAGCGGGAAGTTAATATTTTTTTCTTAATTCACACACCTTAGGTTTCTTTATTTTTTTTTACGAAGAAACGCAATTCTGAAATGTCGATAATTATGTTAAAGACAAAATTTGCTTTTGTAAAGGAAATAAAATAAAAAAAAAAGGATTTTCAAAGTAGTAAATGCTTGGAAAGGAAATAAAATTTTAAAAAAGTATTTTTAAAATAGAAAATGCTTGGAAAGGAAATAAAATTTAAAAAAAGTATTTTTAAAGTAAAAAATGCTTGGAAAGGAAATAAAATTTAAAAAAAAGTATTTTTAAAGTTTTGCTTTGTAAAGGAAATAGAATTAAAAAAAGGATTTTAAAAGTAGAAAAATGTGTAAACGAATGGGAATAATCGAGAACGTGTTTGATTTAAAATTTAATTTAACGTTTTTTACCTGATCTTCAGGTGGTAAGTGCTGTAGGTACACGAGACAAGTTCCGCCTTCGTCAAATATGCATTTTCGTAATTCTTGCTCCATTGTGGCAAGGGAAAGGGATAATTTATTTTCAAGATCTTCTCTTAATTTCTGTAAAGTGACAAAACGGAAAAATATTTTACTGACAAAGAAAAATGATTGTTTGTCTAATACAAAATAATGAAAAAAGAATGAAATGAGATTTAAATAGTGTGAAGAATTTTATATAATGTTGTAATATGTAAATAATGTAAATGTTTTCAAATAATTGTAAGAAATTCTTACTAAATTGTGCGCTTTATCCCTCAACAATTCACAAGATTCTTCGTACAATTGTCTGGCAGTGGAAACCAAGTCCGTGACAACGGGTCGTAAATTCACCTAGAAACAGAATATTATCTCGTTAAAATTTAAACTTATCAAATTTATTAATTTATTTATTTATTATTAGAATTTATTCTATGCTCCAAAAATTCGGAACGTTCAAATATTTTTTTATCGTAAATAATTAAAAAATTTACTTACTAAAATAAAAATTAAAAACGTAATGTAATCTTCTATATTAATAATCGTTGTAATCCGGTAATCTGTTCGCAGTTTGAACTTAGTTGTTTGCTTTTTTGTTTCCTAACTTTTTTAATAATTTTTCTTTTCAAATATTTACAATTTTAAAATTAATGCATTAAAAATCATTGAATTCTTGCAAATAATTTTGTCAAAAAATTTGAGAATAATTGAATTTTTTCGAAGAATTTTATAATTTATAAAAATAATCGTATTCTCGCAAAAAATTTTATTAAAATTTAAAAAATCCTAATTAAATTCTTTTGAAGAATTTTTTTTTAAATAATGGTTTTTTTTAATAATTTTAATTGAAAATTCTGAAAGTAATTGAATTTTATAAACAATTTCTTCCAAGTTTTTAGAATAATCGTGTTTCTTAATAATTGAAATAATTAAACATTTAGTTAGTGAATTCCATTAAAATTTTTAGAAAATAATTAAATTCTTCTTAGAATTTTATTACAATTTTCTAAAATAATTTAATTTATTCGAGAAATTTAATTAAAATATATAGAAAATAATTAAATTCTTTCAAAAAATAGATACTATTAAAGGTTTTGACAATAACTGAATTCTTTCAAAACATTTCATTTTTGCGATGAATTTTATTTCGAAATGATTTCTTGACAAGAATTTGTTTCAAATTTATGAAAATAATTGAAATTCTGTAAAGAATTTGTTTCAAATTTTTAAAAAATAATAAATTTAAATTCTAAAAAGAATTCAATTATTTATGAAAAAATTGAAATCCCGACAAGAATTTGTTTGAAATTTTTGAATTTTCAAATAATTGAAATTCTGTAAAGAATTTGTTTCAAATTTTTGAAAATAATAAATTGAAATTCTAAAAAGAATTCAATTATTTATGAAAAAAATTGAAATCCCGACAAGAATTTGTTTGAAATTTTTGAATTTTCAAATAATTGAAATTCTGTAAAGAATTTGTTTCAAATTTTTGAAAATAATAAATTGAAATTCTAAAAAGAATTCAATTATTTCTGAAAAAAATTGAATTCCTGACAAGAATTTGTTTCAAATTTTTAAAAATAATTGAAATCCTCCGAAGAATTTTATTACTTAAGAAAATAATTGAAATCTTCAAAAGAATTTTATTTTTTATGAAGATAGTTGAATTTCCAAAGAATTTTATTTTTAACGTAAATAATTGAAATCTTCAAAAGAATTTTACTATTTATGAAGATAATTGAATTTTTCGGAAGAATGTTATGAAAATTTTTAAAAATAATAAAAATTCTTTGAAAAATTTTATTATTTATGAAAATAATTGAAATCTTGCAAGGATTTTTATTAAAATTTTTGAAAAATAATATAATTATTTCGAAGAAAATTTAAATTCTTTGGAGAAATTTTATTAAGATTGTATTAAAAATAATTGAATTGTTAGGAAGAATTTTATTAAAATTTTAGAAAACTGAATTCTTTTAGAAAATTTTATAAAGAATTAAGAAAAAAATTGAATTCTTTTGTGAAATTTTATTGAAAATAATTGAATTTTTGCAAAGAATTTTCTATTTTAAAAAAATAATTTAATTGTGTCGAAGGATTTAGAAAAATTGTATTCGAAAATAATTGAATTTTTGCAAAGAATTTACTATTTTGAAAAATAATTTAATTGTATCGAAGGATTTAGAAAAATTTTATTTGAAAATAATTGAATTTTTGAAAAAAATTTTATTATTTATAAAAATAACTGAATTTTTCCGAAGAATGTTATTATTTATGAAAATAATGGAATTCTTCCGAAGAATTATATTAAAATTTTTGAAAATATAAACAATAATAATTAATTATGTACTTAATAAGTGGATTTTTTAAATTTTCATTTATGAAATTATTCAAAAATTTATATTTGAAAATAAAAAATTTTGTAATTTGCATAATAATTAATAATAATAATAAATTGAACATGACGTTCCGCGCGTAACATTTGCTAGTTAATCAATAATTCGAAAAAGTCGTAATATCCAAAGATTTGAATTTGAAAATTAAATAAATATATTTCATTTATAAACTTTCGGAACTTTGAGAATATTTAATTTTGAAACTCTTTTAAAATTTACTCACTCCTTGCAAAATTTTTCCATCGGGATGAACTTTTTCGAGGGCAACCGCAGTCCTCGCAGCAATTTGATAAAGCTCGGGTTCAAGACTCGGATGCGAAATAATGAGTAACTTCACCCATTTAACTAAAGTCGTGACAACTTCGATGAAACCAAGTAAAATGCTCATCTCCTCGTCAGTAAGTAACAATTGTTTCCCGTCTATTTGCAAATGAGTTCGCGACTGTGATTGAGAAGTGCTGCTTAATGTCGACGACGATTGCGAGACTGCTGATACTTTTTGTTGTTTCTCCTCCCACGCTCGGAGTGAAGTTTCGAGAGCCTAAACAAACAAAGTACACAACTTAATATAATTCTAATTCTGTTAAAATTTAATCTAATCTCTTTAAATTATAGTTCTCTGTTTAAATTTAATCTAAACTCTCTAAATTGTAGTTCTGTTTAAATTTAATCTTCTCATTCTCTTTGTTAAAATTTAATCTTGTCTTTCTCTTTGAATTTTAATTCTCTGATAAAACTTAATTTAATCCCTCTCTTTAAATTTAAATTTTAATAATATTTAAAAAATAAATAAAAATAAATTAAATAAAATAATTTAGATAAAGAATTAAAGAAACAAAATAGTGAAGTTTACCCGATTTCTGAAGAGCATTTGCATTCGATTTTTGTGAATAATCCTTATAATTCCGGGAGGCTGGATCCACGCCTCTCCGTCAACCTGAATAGGAACTCCCTCATCTCCCAATATATTAATTTGAACGCTGTGACACTGTGCAATTCGATGATGTTGCAAATTAATTAACCTAGAAGCAGCCATCTGAACGGAACCGAATACAGCGACAACTTCTAAAATTCGATCATCGAACGAGGGCGCTAAGAATATATCTCCTTCCTTCGTTCCGCCCCAGAAGTTTGTGCCACCCATGAAACTTTAAAATCAAAAAGAAAAATTCTTAACCAAAACAATTTTTTTTTGTTTCAAGAAAAAAGTTTTCTGTTCACAAAATAAAATGAATAAAATGCTTTTTTTCCTTTTGAAAGAAAATTCTTTTTCGTTACCTTGGAATATTTAAGACGACAATTCCTTGCAAGGAAGGCAAAGGTATTCTTTGACCATCACATTCCAGTTGAACTCTTTGATCTAAATTTTTGTACGTTTTTTGCAGCCATTGCTTTGAGCCTAAAACTCCATACCACATGTAATTTTTTGCGCGTGATCGACATTTTTCTGGATGTTCCTCTCGTTTATGATGAAAATCGAGACTTATCTTCGCGTCAATTCCAATGCCGAAATAATTATTCATCACACATCGTTCGAAATATCCTTCCCTATTAATAAAATATTATTAAAAACTGTTAATAATATATTAATAAAAACTAGTAATAAAAACTATTAATAAAATATTAATAAAAAATGTTAATAAAATATTCATATAAACTATTAATAAAATAATATTAAGAATACTTGTTTGTTAAGATTTACAACATAATTAAATAGTTAAATAGTATTTAAATAATCTTTGAAATTTAGGGCGAAACTTTATAAATTGAAATAAAAAGGAACGTACATGAGAGTCTCATCTGGATCCATTAATGGCGAAACAGCTGCACAAAGAGCGTCGGCATTCGCAAGTAAAGCTTGACTTATTAAACCAGCACCTCCGCTGACATCTACAAAATTAAAAAAATTATCTATATTAATAATCGTAGTATCCCGGTAATCTGTTTGCAGTTTGAAAATTAGTGTTTGCTCTTTTGTTTCCTAACTTTTAAAATAAATTTTATTTTTAAATATTTTCAATTTGAAAATGAATATATTGAAAATTATTGAACTCTTGATAAAAGAATTTTATCAAAAAATTTTAGAATACTTGAAATTCTTCGAAGAATTTTATTATTTATAAAAATAATTAAATTCTTGCAAATAATTTTATCAAAAAATTTGAAAATAATTGAAATTCTTCAAAGAATTTTTATTACATTGTTTTTTTATTATTTAAAAATCCTAATTAAATTTTTTTCAATTTATTTTAAATAATATAGTTTATTTAATAATTTTAATTGAAAATTTTTACCTTAATTGAATTTTATAAACAATTTCTTTCAAGTTTTTGAAATAATCGTGTTTCTTAATAATTTAAATAAAACAATTAAATTATTGAATTTTATTAAATCTTTTAGAAAATAATTAATATCTTTTTAGAATTTTATTACAATTTTCTAAAATAATTTTAATAAAAAATTTTAAAAATTGAATTGCTTAGAAGAATTTATTAAAATTTTAGAAAATAATTGAATTTTTGCAAAAATTATACTATTTAAAAAAATAATTTAATTCTTATGAAGAATTTTATAACGAAATAAAAAAAAATTGAATTCTTTCGTGAAATTTTATTGAAAATAATTGAAATTCTTTAAAGAATTTTATTATTTATGGAAATCATTGAATTCTTGCGAACAGTTTTATAAAAATTTTTGAAAATCCTAATTAGTTTCTTTTGAAGAATCTCTTTCAATTTATTATAAATAATGGCGTTTCTTTAATAATTTTAATTGAAAATTTTTACATTAATTGAATTTTATAAACAATTTCTTTCAAGTTTTTGAAATAATCGTGTTTCTTAATAATTTAAATAAAACAATTAAATTATTGAATTTTATTAAATCTTTTAGAAAATAATTGAATTCTTATGAAAATTTTAATAATGAATTAAGAAAAAAATTGAATTCTTTCGTGAAATTTTATTGAAAATTTAAAAAAAAATTGTATTCTTTCATGAAATATTTAAAAAATTGTATTTTAAATAATTGAATTGCTGTGAAAATTTTAGTATTTATGAAAATAATTGAATGTTTGCGAAGAATTTTATCAAAATAGTTTTCAAATAATTTAAGAACTTTACAATTATTAAAATACAAAAATAAATAATTTATTCTCATAAAGAATTTTATTAACAAATTTTTTAATAAATGAATTCTTTCAACAAATTTTAATAAGATTTTTAAGAATAATTTCATTTTTCGAGGAAACAATAATTATAAAAGTACAATTTTAATAAATTTCAGTAGTCAAATATTTAATTATAATTATTAACAAAAACAATAAATTATTATAAAAAGTTGAAAAAAAATTCTTTCTTTAATTTAATTATTTTCTAATTTTGAACTGAAATTTAAGACCATGATTTAAAAATATAAAAATGAGAATGATTCGTAGCCTTTGGTGCGTACGGACCAAAGGCCACGAATCATTCTCGTTTTTATATTTTTAAATTATTTTAATTAATAATAATTTTGCTCTTTTTTCAATAAATTATATTTTGGACTTTAAAATTTCAAAATGTACTTTACTTACTCGGCCACATTGGCAATCGCACTAGAGGATTAATAATTGGCAGTTTTTTAACTTCCTCCGTTTTGTCGACAGATTTTGCTCTTTCGTGTCGAAGGCTTAAACTCGATCCGCCAAGTCTTGCAGCCGATGCTGCCAACGAAACTACTTCGTTTGGTTTCAATAAACTACCGCTACTTATTCGTCTCGTTGCTTGCGGCGAACATCCATATTCCGGTAACTCAACGTTCACTGAAAATGAAAAAAAAATATTTTTTATTCAAAAAGAAACGAATTAAAAAAATATTTGTAATGACAGAAAAATTTATTTAAACCAAAAATTCATAAAATACATAAATCTTATAAGTAAAAATCAACAGGTTTAAAGCCAAATTTGATTTTTTCCTGATTTCCAGACAGAATTTTCATATTTTCCTCAGAATTTGTAGAATTTAAAAAAATTTTCCCATATTATGTGACAATATTTTTATGTTACCTTTGAGTAAAAACTTAATGAATATTTATTTTTGTTCTTCAACCTTGTTGACTTTAACGTCGTGAATTTGAGATCGATTACGATTAGAATTTAATTTAGATTTTTGATTACGATTAGAAATTAAAATTTGAATAAAATTGTGTTGCTTTTTACGTGGAAAATATTGTTTTCGCTTTCAATAGTTGATCATAAACGTTGTAAACTTCGTAACGTGAAGAATTTTTCACTGACGTTGAAAAATTTAGAAAGTAGATGAAGTGGATGAAACTTAACAAAATAGATGAAACAGGTGGTAATCTTCATTCGTAATTTAAAATTTTTAAAAGTTGAAAATAGTGAAAATTTAGTTAACCATTAAAATACTTACATTTTTCCATACTCTCTCCACTCAATCGTCTCAATTTTGAATTCAATTTATTCTCCTTCTCATGACGACTACCAATCGATGCCGACGGACTTGGTGGATCGACAATAACACTGATTGTTGGCGGGAAAATCTGCTGCGACTCCTTTCTTGCATTCTGATCCGACGAGACAGTGAAACAACAAACGGGACTTAATAAATTTGTAATTTTCTCACCGCCCTGCGAATGTTTTTCACTTTTCTCATGTTCATTGCTATTGATTTTCAACATATTCGACGAGAATTCATGATTCTTTGCTGCGAACAACAATTCTTGATTTTCAATTTTAATATTTCTCGGTGGTCTCTTAAACGATCTCCTCGCAATGTCACTGCCCTCGGCAAATTGTGCGAGACTACAATATTTTCTTGGCTTCTCAACATTCTCCGATTCCAAGCATTCACGCACAGAATCATATTTCTCGCCCAACATTGTACTTATTAAATCCTGTCCCAATGAACTCAAATCATCAATCATACTCTCCGACTGACTCTCATAGATTTCAGAATTTTCCGCCGAGTCAATGTGTCCAATTTCGGGACTGTCCGATTGTTTTGTTGAGTCTAAAATATCGCTGTCTATATGACCTGAAAATTGTTAGAGAAATTATCCAAAAAGAGGAAAGGGCAGACTTCGCACTCGATAATTAATTTTAAAAAAGTAGCAAAAAGTAGCTTTCAAACTAAAAAAAAGTAGTAAAAAAGTAGTCATCGAAAAATTAAATTTGACGACTAAACAAACTCGTTTTAGACAGTTTACAAAACACAAAAATTCCATTCTACATTTTATTTTCCTGCCTTTTTCCTAATTTTCATCAAAAATATTTACTTTTTTCTTATCCTGCTAATAAACTGAATTCCTGCAACGAATTTTATTATTCGTGAAAGAATTTAAATATTTATAAAAATAATTTAATTCTTGCGAAGAATTTAATAAAAATTTTTAAATAATTAATTTCTTTCGACAAATTTTATGCAAATTCTAATTTAAATAATTGAATTCCTGAGAAATTTTTATTATTAATAAAAAGAATTGAATTCTTACGAAGATTTTTTCAAAAATTTTTTTAAATAATTGAATTCTGTTTGGAAATGTTATGGAAAATAGTAGATATTGAAAATCATTGAATTGCGAAAAGTTTTTAAAAATAATTAAATTTTATAAAGAATTCTATTAAAATTTCTGACAATAATTAAATGTCTGTGTGGTATTTTATTAAATTTTTTTTTGAAACTAATTGAATTTCTAAAAAGCATTTTATTATTTATGAAAATAATTTAATTTTTGCGAACGATTTTATTACAATTTTTTAAAATAATTGAATTTCCAAGAAGAAATTTATTACTTTTAGAAATAATTGAATTCTTGTCATAAATATTGTTAATTTTTGAAAATAATTGAATTTTGCAAAGAATTTTATTAAAATGCCTTAAAATAATTTAATTTTCGGGAATAATTTTGTTATTTATTGACACAATTCAATTCTTTCGAAGAATTATTTTTGTAAATAATTGAATTCTTGGGAAGAATTTTATTAAAATCTAAAAGAACAATTATTTAATTGTTCTAAAATAATTTAATTAGAATTGTATTGAAAATAATTGATTTCTTTCGAACAACTTTATTAAAATATTTGAACATAATTGAATTCCTGTGAAAAATTCTAATATTTTTGACTTTTGTAAATAATTAAATCCTTCCAAAGAATTCTCAAAAACGTTTCTTTAAATAATTGATTTTTTTGAAAAATTGAAATTAAATTTTTAAGAATAATTACATTTTTTGAGCAATTCCTGTAAAATTGTATTAAAAATAATTGAAATCCTGCAATGAATTTTATTATTTATGAAAATAATTAAATAGTTGCTAAGAATTTTATTAAAATTTTCCAAAATAATTGAATTATTATGCGAAAAATTTAATTTGAAATGTTTAAAAAGAATTGAATTTCTATGAAAAATTTTGTTATTTTTGTAAATAATTCAATTCTTCATAAGAATTTTGTAAACATTGTTTTAAATAATTAATATTTTCGAAATATAATAAATATTATAAAAATTTTATTTTAAATAATTGAATTCTTGCTTAGAATTTTATCAACAAATTTTTTAAAAAATTGAATTTCTATGAAAAATGTTATTGTTAGTGAATGTAATTGAATTATTGCGAAAAATTTTATTAAAATTTTGTTAAATAATTGACTTTTTCAAAATATAATAAATATTATTATAAAAATTTTATTTTAAATAATTGAATGCTTGTGGAAAACTTTATTTGTGAAAATAATTGAATTTTTCGATTAGTTAATTTAAAATAGTATTCAAAATAATGAAAATTTTTCGATGAGTTTTATTATTCATGAAAATAATTGAATTTTTGCTTAGAATTTTATGAAAAATTTTTTAAAATAATTGAATTTCCATGCAAAATGTAAATATTAGTGAAAGTACATAATTGAATTATTGTGAAGAATTGTATAAGAATTTTGTTAAATAATTGATAATTTCCTGTGGAAATTTTATTCTTTATGAAAATAATTGAATTTTGTATGAATTTTGTCAATTTTTTTAAATAATTGAATTCTTTTGCAAAATTTGATAAAAATACTAAATATTGAAAATAATTGAATTTCGAATATTTTTTTTTTAAATAATTGAATCGTTTTAAAGGATTTGATTAGTAAATTTTCAAAAAAAAAAACTGAAATGGTAGCTTTTAGTGGCTGAAATCTAAAAAAGTATCCAAATAGTAGCATAACTTAAAAAAATAGTAAATAGTAGGTTTTAGTAGATGGGTGCGAAGCCTGGAAAGGGAAAGAGAAAGCAGAAGAGGGTAAAAAATATACAGAATGTTAAACATTAATATTAATTCTTACCAATTTCACTCTCACTGTTTTTGACATTTATACTTTTCGAATCGAGAGTATCGGAAACTGTGCTGTCGAGACTGATAATACTGTTACTACAACTCCCTTTTGTTGGTCCAATTTTAACGTCACTTTGAACTCTGTGCATATTTTCGAGGGATGCATTTTTAGAAAAAGCAGTTTCCGAATCAGGTGAGATCATTGCGTCCTGAATGGTTGTGTCGTCCGTCGGAGAACTTGTGTCTAGAGTCGTTGGCGTTACAGTCACTTGAATATCAGATTCGGTCTCAATTTGATAATCATCCCCGGCTTGCTCTCCATTTGTCAATATTTTATTTTGAGCTTGTTTCAATTCTATTAATGCTCTCTCAACCATTGGAACTTCAAAACTAAAAGCTCTGCAATCAAAACAAAAAATATTTTTTATTTTTTTACTTCAGAATTGACACAAAAATTTAATTCAGTTTCCTAATTTTTAGATACAATTTTGACTTTTCCCCTGAACATAAAGAATTCTAAAAATTTTCTCAAAATTTGAAATATTTGAAAATAAATGAATCGTTTCAAAGAATTATAATTCTTTTTATAAGACGGAAAATTTTTCCTTACACTTGAGGCATATTGGAACTGTTTCTCCTACTGTCAGCGAAACCATCAGGTGCGGGTAATGTAAGCATTTCGTCGGCTTGAGAATCTCTTCTCAAATCTGGCATTGGACTGAGAGAGGCAACATTGGGAGTTGGACTTGAACACAAAGAAGATTCTGTACTACTTATAGAATGTAAGGTTGCCACAAGAGGAAGATCCAAATTCACTTTTTTATCTGGAACAAAAAGGTCAAAATTTGTCATTAATCCTAAAATGACTTTGAAATTTATTTAATTTAGGGAATAATTTGTTTCAAAAAGTTAATTATTACCATAACATATTGAATTTCGCTTTAGAGATTGTTCTTCATTGTAAAGTTCTGTAAGTTCTGCAAAACTTCGAATCGCTCTCTTCAAACTGTCTGACCTTCAAAAGATAAACGCAATTATAGAAAATTGAAGAAAATTGAATAAAAATAAAGAAAATTGAATAAAATTAAAGAAAATAGAATAAAATTAAAGAAAATAGAATAAAAATAAAGATAATTGAATAAAATTGAATAAAATTAAAGAAAATAGAAGAAAATTGAATAAAATTGAATGAAATTAAAGAAAATTGAATAAAGATAAAGATAATTGAATAAAATTTTAAAAATATTGAATAATAAAATCGAAATGATATTAAATATTCGAAAAATACCTGGACAATAAAGCATCCTTATCCATGAAATCCTTTCTTTTACGGACCCGTTTCAAATTAGTAATATCCTTCTCGGGTTTTTCTAAAACACCCTTTTCTTGGTGATCTAGAGATGGAATGTTTTCAGATCTAAAATTATTAAATTCCCTGTCGTCTTCATTGTCCTGAAAATCACTGTCATCGGTTTCTAAGATTTTTATCAATGAATTCAATTTTTGCTGAACAATATCACACTTTTCTGCAAGTTGTTGGTCCCCAGAATTGTAACTGATGTCGATGACTCGCGCCGTAAAATCTTTTACTGTCTCGCACAAAATTCTGTAAAAAAAAGGAAGATTTCATTTAAGAATTTTTCGAGCTTCGCACTTTAAAAGTTAATTAATAAAAAAGTTTAAGTTAATTAATAAAAAAAAAAAACAATAGCAAAAAGTATTTCCCTGATTTCCAGAAAGAATATTAACATCTTCTCTTATTCTGCTAATTACTTCGATTATAAATTTTTGAAAAATTCAATTATTTTCCAAATTTTAAGTTGGAATTCTCCAAAAATAAAATTATATTTAAAAGAACTTTTTAATAGTAAAGAAATAAAATTCTTTATACATAATATAAAATTTATTTCATAATTTGAAATTTTTTAAAATTATAAAATTTGACAAAATTTCCAATAGTTTCAATTTTTTAAAATTACTTTCAAGAATTCAAATATCTTCAAAAAAAGTTTAATTACAATTGTTTAATTTTTCAATTTTTAATAATTTCAAAATAGAACCTTTTAAAATTTAATTATTTCTAAAAATTGTGACTGTAATTTACAATATAAAATTTAAGATTTAGAAACTTCATAATAATATTTTTCTTAAGTGACCAAAAAATTATTGTAATAAAAATTTAATTTTAAGAAGAAGGAAATAAATTTCGTTCATATCATTATAAAGTTCAGAACTTTAGGAATATGAAAATAATTGAATTTTTGCAATGAGTTTAAGTATAAAATTTCTTAAAATAATTGAATTCATGCAATAAATTTTATTAAAATTGTTTTGAAAATAATTGAATTCATGCGATAAATTTTATTAAAATTGTATTAAAAAAATTTAAATAAAAATTCAATTATTTATGAAAAAAATTGAATTTTTTGAAGAAAATTTTATTAAAATGTTAGAAAATAATAATAATATCTAATTAATTAATAATAGAATTTTTTAAAATTTTGAATCTGAAACTATTTAAAAATTGATGTTGATGTTTAAAAATAAGGAAGTTTGTAATTTTCATATTCATTATCGTTTTATTCAGATCGCAGTTTTTTTAAAACTCTCAATAATATTTGAATTCTTTCCAGAAATTTGATTAAAATTGTATTGAAAATAAATCAATTTTTTCCGAATAATTTCTAATTAATTTTTGAAAATAATTTAATTTTTTTGAAGAATTTCTTGGAATTTTTTTAAAATAATGCAGTTTTTTATTAATTTTAAATGAAAATTTTGAAAGCAATTGAATTTTATGAAGAATTTCTTTTACATTTTAAAAGTAATCGTGTTTTTTAATAATTAAAATTAAACATTTAATCACTGCATTTTATTAAAATTTTTAGAAAATAATTAAATTCTTAGATTTTATTACAATTCTCAAAAATAATTGAATCTTGTCAAGGAAATTTATAACAATTTTTAAAAGTAATTGAATTCTTTTAAAGAATTACTTTAATTTTTTGAATAGTGATTTTGTTAATAATTATATGTAATTAATAATTTTACTATTAAATTTTATTAAAATTATTCATAGAAAATTAAATTCTTTTAAACAATTTTATTCGAGTTGTAAAGATTCAAATTTAAAAATCTTTTCAAATTTAATTATTTCTAAAAATTTCTACTATAACTCCTCTAATATTCAATTATTTTCTAAATTTGAACTGAAATTCGGTTATATTTTTTATTCTAATAGAATAAAAGGAGAAATTATTTTTCAAAAGAGATGCGGGTTGAAAGAAGTGCAAATTCCAAAAAAAGAGCTTTTAGTGACACAGAACTAAAAAAAATTATCCAATTAGTAGTAAATTTAAAAAAATAGTAATAAATTCTAGGTTTTAGTAAATAAGTGCTGTTTTGTAATTTTTTAATAATAATTGAATGATAATTTACTCACTTGGCGTTGGATATAATAAAACTTTCTTGATTTGATTGCAGAATATTCGTTATATGTGAAAGAACACTATCCTCATATTCTTGTACTAACGCAGTACTCAAAGGCAAATCAGGTTGATTCATTGATAATTTACGACAGGGTAATGATATGCTTCTTTCGAATGTCATCACACTCCAGCGATCCAACATTTTCGTACTGGCTTTCTCATATTTCTCCAAAAGTTGTGGCAAGTGTGTATCATCATCACAAGACGCTCCCCATCCTAAAACTCTTGCCAAATCATTCCCCGTTCCCAGTGGTAGTACTCCAACTTGACATTGTTTCTGTAAAATAATTTCTCAATTATTTTCAAGATTATAAAAATTAATTAATTATTTTCAAAAATATAAAAATTAATTAATTATTTTCAAGATTAGAAAAATTAATTAATTATTTTCAAGTTTAAAAAAATTAATTAATTATTTTCAATATTAAAAATTAGTTCTCAATTATAAGAATCGTTCACAAGTACACATTTAATCGCTAAGAAAGAAAGCAACAGCTTTTCTCAATAAATTGATAAGAAAAAAAGAAAACTCAGTGCGCCATTCTTTTTCACGAAACAAAAAAAAATACTTTCCTGCATTTTTCAAACTCTCAGGCAAAAGAAAGAAACAATTTTTCAGAAGACAAAATTAAATTGTGCCACATTCTTTGATGACTTACCGCCTAGAAAGAAAGTTAGATAACTTTAGCGCAACTAAATAGGTGCAAAGCTCAGTCGATGATTGCACCTGCAATAAAAGAAAAAGAGAGACACGCCATGCTGTAGAAAATTCGACAATTTGAAAAAACGCAAAAGGAAAATATGGTGCAATCAAAATAAAAAAAAAAAATGTTAAATCACAACAGAAAATTTGTCAGTTGTAAACTGAAAACTTGTACTGAAACTTCCATTAAAAAATCTCATCGTGATTAGAATACAGAAGGTCATTCATCAAATAAAGAGAAACGAAAACAAGAGAAAGATAAATAAAAAAGGAGAAAAGAAGAAACTATACGAAACAATATTGCAAAAGTGTTGTTAGTGTTCGAATTTGAAAAATATTAAAAAACTTTTCGAAAGGAAAAATAAAAAGTGAAGAAGAAGAAGAATTATCGCAGGCCAAATGTGTGAAGCAAGAAACATTTGATTTGAATTCCTGCGATTACTCACGTGCATTCCTAACCGATCAATCTCCGAAAGAACCCAACCAACTGACCCATCTCCACTGCATACGAGAATCCGGAATGGGTCGAAATGTCGAAAGAGTCGCAGCCTGTTTTTATATATAATTAATAAATGAGTAAAATATTTTTTATAAAACGCAAATAATCCCTTTTTCTCCGAAGAGGAAAGTAATAATCCCCGCAAATTTCAAAATTCTTTATGAATGAAATGAATTAAAATTTTATAAAGTTTGTGGTAATTACCCAGGTCCGGGACCACCTTTAATGAGATCGAAAACTTGCGCTGGATTTAGTATCTGCTTGAATCTTCTGAGAAATTTAATTCCTTGATTGTCACCGGATTTGCTGTTAACAAATACTAAAAGGGGACTGCAACCAATTGGCCGCACTGCTTCCCAGGCTTCGTCGCTACCTGTTTCGAAGGTAAACATATCTTCTATTTAAATTCGAAATAACTGAACGAGGAAAATAGGATTGATTTTTGTATAATTATTTTTTGTTCTTATAAAATATAATTTTAATTTTAGGAAGAATTTGACTTTTGAGCAATTCCACGCGAAACGTGTTTTTTACGGCGTAAAAAAGTCACTTTGGTGATTATTCAGAACTTCAATAATTTTATTAACATTCGTAATTAACATTCGTAATAATGAAATAAATTCAATTGATATTCAATTTATTATTATTATGCAAATTACAAAATTTTTTATTTTCAAATATGAATTTTTGAATAATTTCAGATTCAAATTTTAAAAAATTCAATTATTAACTAATTCATTATTCTTGTTTATTAATTTCCAAAATTTTAATAAATTTCTTCGCAAGAATCAAATTATTTTCAGAAATAATAACATTCTTCGTAAGAATTCAATTATTTTTACAAATAGTAACATTTTTCGAAAAAATACAATTTTTTAAAGAAAAATTTAATAAAATTCTTCTTTAGAATTCAATTATTATCACAGATAATAAAGTTTTTTATAACTGAAATTCAATTATTTTCAAAAATTTAAAGAAATTCTTCGCAAAAATTCAATTATTTTTAATAGAATCCTAATTAAATTCCTTCAAAGAATTTAAATTTTCTTCGAAATAATTATAATATTTTTCAAAAATTTTAATAAAAATCTCTGCAATATTTCAATTCTTTTCATAAATAATAAAATTTTTCAAAGGATTTTCATTATTTTCAAAAAAATTTATAAAATTATTCCGAAAAATTCAATTATCTTCATAAAAAGTAAAATTCTTTTGAAGATTTCAATTATTAACATTAATAATGAAATTCTTTGGATGATTTCAATTATTTTCAAGAATTTTAATAAAATTCTTCCTAGAAATTCAATTATCTTCATAAAAAGTAAAATTCTTTTGAACATTTCAATAAAATTCATCGAAGAAATTCTATTATTATCAAATTTTTTGATAAAATTCTTTGTAACAATTCGATGATTTTCAATACATTCATTTTAAAATTGGAAATATTTAAAAAAAGTAAAATTATTAAAAAAGTTAAGAAACTTAATATTAAAATACTTTTTCATTTTTCCACAGGAATTAAAATTTCTATTTCAAACCTTTTGAATTTAATTATTTTCTAGAATTTGTAACTAAAATTATTCAAAAGTTTAATAATCTTTTTTTCAGTAAAATAAAAATGTTTTTAGCTTATTAAAAAATCAGTTTAGATTAGATCAGTTCACGTGGAATTGCTCTTTTATAAAAAATACTTGTACTATTCTTTTTTTTAAAAAAAAAGAAAAAAACAAAAGTCTTAAGATCTTGTAATCAAAATAGCCTTTCAATGTTTCTTACTAACACCTTTCTTGTTTAATTGTTACCTATACTATGCAATGCTGTGGGAGGCACGACACTAAGTCTTCCTGGTCCTAGGGGGCATCTATCGCTCATAGCAGGTCTACATGCTGTGTGAACAGTGGCTCTACACCATAAACATCTCCAGTCTTGCAGTCTAAAAATCGAAACAAAATTAATATTTTCCTTTTTCTTCTTTTCGCCAAGTAACTTTTTTTTGAGTGGAAAATTCACCTTAAAACAGAGCCACAGGTTTTGTCGCAAATAGAACATTTTGATGATACCGGCAAGTTTCCTTCCATCCACTGATGAGGCATTGAAATATTCTGTAAAAATCATAATATGGTGTAAAAAATATTGATATTAAGTTTAGTTGTGTAATATTATGAATTTAATTGTAATACTATTACAGGATTGCCACAAAAATTTAAATTTGATTTTCCCAGACTTTTCTCTGATTTTCAGACAAAATTTTGACTTTCTCCCTGACCCTAAAGAATACCTTTTCAAATTCAATAACTTGTAAGAATATTTATTAAAAAACAAGAAGATATTAAATTAAATTATATTAATATATTATTAAATATTATTAAATCTTCATGTTTTATAATAATTAAATATAATCGAGTAGTAAAGTCATTATTTTATTATTATAAGAATATTGTTACCGTAACTTCTTCAACATAATTTTCATCATTTCAATTCAATTATTATTTTCTAGAATTTTTATCAAAGATTCTTGTGGAAATCAATTACATTTTATTATTTATAAAAATAATCGAATTATTGCAAAGAAAGTTATAAAAAATTGGTAAATAATTTAATTCCTGTGAAATTCTTATTATTTATGAAAGTAATAAATGTTTGCGTACAATTTTATCAAAATTCTTTATAAATAATTGAATTCTTTTGGAAAATTAGATATTTCAATATCTTTAAAATTCTTCAATGATTTTCAAATCATTGAATTTCTGCGAAAAATTTGATTTCTTTTGAAAATAATTGAATTTTTGAAATCATTTGTAACTTTTCTCCAAAATTCATTTTTTTTTAGTGTTTTTAACTAAAATTAATTTTTAAATCAATATTTATCAGAAAATTTTACGAGAATTGAATTATTTAAATACAAAAATATATAATTTATTGAATAATTAAATGTTATTTAAAATTGAATTCTCATAAAGAATTTTATTAACAAAATTTTTTAATAATTTTTAAGAATAATTACATTTTTCGAGGAATTTAATTAAAATTATTAGAAATAACTGAAATTCTGCGATGAGTTTAAATATTTTTGAAAAAAAAACTAAATTCCTAAAAAGAATTTTATTATTATTTATGAAAATAATTAAATTATTGCGAATAAATTTATAAAAAAAATTTTAAATAATAGAATTCCCGTGAAATTTTAACTATTCTTGAAAATAATTAAATATTTGCGTAGAATATCATTAAAATATTTTTTAAATAGGAATTAAATTCCTTTAAAAAATGTTATTGAAATAGTAGATATTGAAAATCATTAAATTGAGGAAAGTTTTGAAAATATTTGAAATTTTACCAAGAATTTCATTAAAATTTTTGAAAATAATTGAATTTCGGAGAAGAATTTTATTATTTTTAAAGATAATTGAGATTATGACAATTTTTTTTAGTGTTTTTAACTAAAATTCTTCCATAAATCCATTATTTTTAATAATTAATTAAATATATATTAAAAAATTTAACCAATTTCAGAGGAATTTGAATTATTAAATTTTTTACAAAAAACTTCTAATTAAATTCATTCAAAATTGAAGCTTTATAAAATTTCAAATTGAAACCTTTTTTGAATTTCATCTATTTATGAAAATTGTAAACGCAACTCTTTTAAAATTCATTTAATTTTGAAATATTGAAGTGAAATTATTCACTAAGTAATTAATAAACAATAATTTTATGCTAGTTCTTCAAAAATTAAGTTATTTAAAAAGAAATTATTGTCAGAAATAGACGAAATTGAAGCTTTTGAATTAGAATTCATGGTAATTTTAAAGTTTATAAAGCAAACAAAAAAGTTACAAAAATTCAGTATTTTCTTATGAATTCTAAAAATTTAATTTTTTCCAGTACTTTTAATAAAAATTCTTGTCTTTTCCCTAATTTTCCTGTCCAATTCTACTTTCTCTGACTTTTTCCTGAATTCCCTGACCTGTGGCAAGCCTGTAAATTTAATTGTTTAAATAATAAACTATTAAAAATACAAAAAAGAAATTTAAATAAATTTAAGTATTAATATAATTATTAAAAGATGTATTTTTGTTGTTGACTAGAATTATTTGTAGTGAAAATGATGTAGAAAAGTGTTGGGTTTTTAAAGTATTAATATTTGAAAAGTTCCAATGATTATTAAAATAATCATACCCCATCTTTGTCTTCGATAATATCCTTTCCGATTGATGCTAATGTGGTCCATTTGCAATTGTTTATTGCCTTAGCGCTACATCTTTTGTGTACTTTATATTTACATATTTCACAACTTAAACCATGTGAGGTAACTCCTAAAAATAATAATAAAAATATTTAATTATTATAGTTATAAAATAGAAACATAAAAAATATATTTAATACTTGAAATGTTTAATAATTATAACAAAATTTATCTATAAGAAAAATAGCAATTACCCATGAGAGCATCTCGGCAAACGTTGCAGTAAGTCGGTCTAGCATGACTTGTTGCATACCATTGATGATTTCCTCCTAAAAGTTCTGCTGTTCCTGCATCAGATGGTCGAGATTCTGATGCTGTTTTTAATGCTCCAATCCAATCCTCCATATCTTGTCTGTTTTCACCACAAAGTACCAAAGACCGAAAAGGAGTTATCACCTAAAAAAACATCAATTTCTCATTATAAACCCATTTTTCCAAACAAAATTATAAACCAAACAATATTCAGTTTGTAAATTAAAATTAAAAACACCCGGAAATTGTAATTAACACCGGAACTTACTTAGATTTGCATAACTTCAATAATTAAATAATCTACAAAAATAATTTACTTTTAATTGTCAAGCAACTCTTTCAAAACAAAACAATACTTCTGTCCTTCGGTTAACAAACATTTTTGACATTTTGTTAAACAATAGTCTTTTTGTTTGTGTAGACAATAGCCGAAGGAAGTAATTTTCCCGATCAATAAAAAGAAAAATTTAAAGAATAAAGTCGAAAGTAAATAATTTATGTTTATAAAGAATAACCTAAAATAGAGGTTATGTTTTGATCCTGACACAACAAATATAATACCTTAAATCTGGAGCGAATTCTTTCCTGTTTAGGAGGCATTTGAGCAAAGGCATCTGATCACAGGTATTATTATTTCATTTATTCGACATTTATATTAAAAAAATATTTAACTTTTTACAAAATAAAAAGAATTCTGAAAAGAATCATTTTTACACAAAATTTAGTTCCTGCAGGTATCTGCCAGGTGGCAATGACTGGGACAGTCTAAATTTTCAAAAAGGTAACAAATTATAGAGTAAAATCTTTTTTTTTCTCTTTACTGAAAATTGAAAATAATTAAACAAGTTCGGCAAGTTGATTGACTTTGATTGAAATTTATTTTTCCAGAAAAAAGAAAGCTTTTCATAGAAAAATTTCCCTAGTGGTAAATAATTTTCCAAACAGGAAATTATAAATTTATTTTGTTATTTTAATGGAAAAGGGTAATAAATAAAATAATTTTAAGTAATTAACGAGAGAAAATATTCTGATAAAGCTACTCTGATACTTTGGGTTAGACCTGCAACACGCCTCTTTAGCTCAGTGGTAGAGCACTGGTCTCGTAAACCAGGGGTCGTGAGTTCAAACCTCACAGGAGGCAAGTTTTTTTTTTTCCCCCACATGAAAGAAGGGATAAAAATCCGTTCATTGGACTTTATAAATAAATAAATAAATAAATTAATAAACAGTAGTTGAATAAGTATAGAAAGAATGAATTTTATTCAAGTCTAAAAATTACTGTAGGAAATTATTGACGGCCTGAATTATTGATCGGAATTATTTTCTATATAATTTTCCTTAATTATTTGATATTTCTAATTATCAAAGAAGTATCGGATTTAATTAAAATTTTAATTAACATAGAAAAGAAGTAATTAAGAAATTCAGTTTGGAACTTAGTCTTACATTGATGTAAAGCAGGTTGCAGTATTTAAACATATTAGTGAATATAAATTCTTTGAAGTATGACAAGTAGCCAATTTGCAGGCGCAATTCAAAGAATATTTCTAAGAATAAAATAACTAATTATGGAAACTTATTAAAATTGTTTCCTTATATAAATTTAATAAATTTAATATTATTTTAACATTTCTATTATAATTAGAGTCTAATAATAAGCTTTGTTGCAATTTATTTACATAACTAAAAAAACTGTTGCATTAAATTTACGAATTTTTTTAAATACCTATTACGAATTTTTTTTATTGTAAAATTATTCGAAAATTATTTAAAAAATGTAAAATAAAATTCGTTGTAAGAATTCAATTATTTTTATAAAAAATAAAATTTCTCATAGGATTTCAATTATTTTTTAATAAAATTTTAAATAAATTCCTCGAAAAATGTTATTATTTTCAAAAAATTTTAGCAAAAATCCAATTAATTTTCAATTAAAAATTCAATTATTTTAAAAAAATGTAATAATTTATTGAATAAATGAATGTTTATCAAAATTAAATCCTCAGAAAAAATTTTATCAACAAATTTTTAAATAATTGAATTTTTCGACGAATTTAAAAAAAAAATTTCAATTACATTTTTTGATGAATTCAATTAAAATTGTATTAAAAATAATTGAAATTCTATGATAAGTTTTAATATTTATGAAAATAATTGAATCTCAGTATAAAAAGTTATTATTTATTGCAAATAACTGAATTATTGACAAGAAATTTATTTTAAAAATTTGTAAATAGTTGAATTCCTGTGAAATTTTCATTACTTATGAAAATAATTTAAAGTTTGCTGAGAATTTTATCAACACTTTTTTTTTTAAATAATTGAAATCTTTTGAAAAATTTTATTAAAATAGTAGATATTGAAAATTTTTGAATAAGTAATTGAAATTTTGCAAAGAATTTTATCAAAAATTTTTGAAAATAATTAAATTTTGGAGAAGAATTTTATTATTTTTAAAGATAATTGAAATTTTGACAAGAATATTATTAAAATTTTCAAAAATAATTAAATTTCTGCGAAGAATCTTATAAAAAAATTTGAAGAGAATAATTGAAATCCTTCGAAGAATTTTTTTATTTATGAAAATAATTGAATTAAAGCAAAAAATTTGACTAATTTATAAAAATAATTGAATTGTTTTAAAGAATTTTTTAAGATTTTAGAAAATAACTGAATGTTTTAAAGAATTTTTTAGAAATATTTGAAAATAATTAATTCTTTTCGAGAAATTCAATTAAAGAAATTTTTCGAAAATAATTGAATTTCTGTGAAGAATTATTGTGTTACAATTTTAAGTATGTTCAAAATAATTGAATTCATCAGAAGAATGTTTTATTTTTTGGAAATAATTGAATTCTTTCAATTTTTTTTATGAATCTTATCAAAAAATTTGAAGAGAATAATTGAATTCCTTCGAAGAATTTTTTTATTCATATTTATAATTGAATAGACGCGAAGAATTTATTAAAATTTAAGAAAATAATTGCATTTTTTGGAAATATTTGAGAATATTTGAAATCTTCCGAGGAATTCAATTAAAATTGTTTTGAAAATAATTGAATTTTTGCATTTAATTTTTTACTATTTATAAAAATAATTGAATTGTTTCAAAGAATTTTTTAAGATTTTAGAAAATAATTGAATTTATTCGAAATACGTATTAAATTTTTTTTTAAATTTAATTCTTCTGAGGAATTCAATTTAAAATTGTTTTGAAAATAATTTAATTCCTGAAAAGAGTTTTACTATTTATAAAAATAATTGAATTATTTCGATTAAAAGTTTAGAAAATAATTGAATTCTTTTGATAAATTTTTTAACGAATTAAGAAAAAAATTTAATTTATTCGTGAAATTTTATTGAAAATAATTGAATTTTTGCGAAGATTTTACTATATTTAAAAAAATAATTCAATTGTTTCCAAGGATTTATTAAAATTTCAGAAAATAATTGAATTGTTTTGAAGGATTTATTAAAATTTCAGAAAACAATTACTGTAAATTTTTCGTAAAATTTTATTAAAAATAATTGAATTTTTGCAAAAAATTTTACTTTATTTATAAAAATAATTGAATTTTTACGAACAACTTTATTTAATTTTTCTTTATAAATAATTGAATTTTTTCGAAGAAATTTATTATGTTTAAAGATAATTTAAATTTTGACGTGGCAATTTTAAATATTTTCTATTATAATAATTGAATTTCTGCGAAGAATTTTATCACGTTTGAAAATAATTGAATTCATAAAAAGAATTTTCTTATTTATGAAAATAATGGAAATTCTGCGGTGAGTTTTATTTTATTATAAAAATAAGTTCATTTCTAAAAACAATTTTATAATTTATGAAAATAATTGAATCACTGAGAGGAATCTTATATTATTTATAAAAATAATTGAATTCTTACAAAGAACTTTTTTAAAATTTTTTTGTTATAAATAATTGAATTCTTGAGAAGAATTTTATGAAAATTGTATTTTAAATAATTGAATTCCTGTGAATTTTTTATTATTTGTGAAAATAAATTATTAATGTTTGTTTAGAATTTTAGCAACACTTTTTTTGAAATAATTGAAATCTTTTGAAAATTTTTTATTAAATTAGTAGATATTGAAAATCATTGAATTGAGGAAAATTTTTGAATAAGTAATTGAAATTTTGGAAAGAATTTTTTGAAAAATTTTTGAAACTAATTAAATTTTGGAGAAGAATTTTATTATATTTTTAAAGATAATTGACATTTTGACGTGACTTTTTTTAAAAATTTTTGAACATAATAATTGAATTTCTGCGAAGAATTTTATTACATTTGAAAATAAATTAAATTCATAAAAAGAATAAATTCTCTTATTTATGAAAATAATGGAAATTCTGCAATGAGTTTTATTATTATGAAAATAATTGCATTCGTATAATAAAAATTTGATAATTTATGAAAATAATTGAATCACTGTGAGGAATCTTATATTATTTTATAAAAATAATTGAATGCTTACGAAGAACTGTATTTAATTTTTTTTTTTTATATAAATAATTAAATTCTTTGAGAAGAATTTTATGAAAATTGTGTTTTAAATAATTGAAGTCCTGTGAATTTTTTATTATTTGTGAAAATAAATTATTAATGTTTGTTTAGAATTTTAGCAACACTTTTTTTGAAATAATTGAAATCTTTTGAAAATTTTTTATTACAAGAGTAGATATTGAAAATCATTGAATTAAGGAAAATTTTTGAATAAGTAATTGAAATTTTGCAAAGAATTTTATGAAAAATTTTTGAAACTAATTAAATTTTGGAGAAGAATTTTATTATTTTTAAAGATAATTGACATTTTGACGTGACTTTTTTTAAAAATTTTTGAACATAATAATTGAATTTCTGCGAAGAATTTTATTACATTTGAAAATAAATTAAATTCATAAAAAGAATAAATTCTCTTATTTATGAAAATAATGGAAATTCTGCAATGAGTTTTATTATTATGAAAATAATATTGCATTCGTAATAAAAATTTGATAATTTATGAAAATAATTGAATCACTGTGAGGAATTTTATATTATTTTATAAAAATAATTGAATTCTTACGAAGAACTGTATTTAATTTTTTTTTTTATATAAATAATTGAATTCTTTGAGAAGAA